ATATCAAATAGTCGGCTGATGAAACTTGAACGCATACATAATGAAGCCATGCGGGTAATTCTAAGATGTACAAGAGATACCCTAGTAGTATGTATGTGATTTATACCTACACTGCCTACTAGTGCAGATAGGCTCAAGTTCTGCAAGCAAAGTCATTTCTTATGGTAGTTGCAGACAAGAAGCACCCCCTGCATGAAGCCCTAGATAGAGCTAAGGGCCATAGACTAAACAGAGGAAGGTCTTGGATGGCGCAAGCTGAAGACACGATTTCACATGTGTGCAGGCTTGATACATTTAAGCGAGTAGAGGAGTGGGTCAAAGTTTCCGAGCAAGTTTCAGACTTGTGTGGGGTTCTTATTACTTCGAGTTGTGAGTGCAGGGACTGACCAGCTATATATATTCCCGTCCAGGTGATGTGATTATCTAAACAGATGGCGTTGTGTTGTGGTGCAGACGAAGTGCATGGGGTTTCATAGCAAATGCGAATGGACGTCTCTTGGTGCAGCAAAGACTGGCATATGGTATCTCAACGTTGTTGGATAATGAAGATGGAAGCAGTCACTGCTGCCTTCCGCTGGCTTGAGAATCAGCTGTACATACATGCCGTGATTGTAACTGACTCGCAAAGCATGTCGAGAAAGCTGGAGACATGCGTGCTCCATGAAGAGATAAAAACCAGATCGATCATTTCATGGTAACAGAAAATGGCGATGGTCAAAAGGGGAGCAGATGTGGGAAGCGATCATCACCTTGTAGTCGCTCTACTACGACTTTAACTCAAAAAAGTTTACACGCAAGTTAAGACACAGACAGCACGTTACAATGTTAACCTTTCAAGAGAAAAAGACATTGCCACTAAATTTATAGTAGAACTCAAGAATAGATTTCAAACCCTATCAAGTGACCCAGAAACTCCAACTACAATCAGCATTCAAGACAGATGGAACCAGCTCAAAGAAGCATACAAATCAACTAGCAATAACATATTAGGAACCAGGAAACAACACCACAAAAAATGAATATGTAGTCAAACCATGGACTATATTGCCAAGCGAAAAAGAATAAAGAGCCTCATAAATCACACTAAATCAGAACGTCAGAAAGACAAAATAATGTTAGAATATAGCGAACTAAATAAAATGACCAAGAAAAGTGCCAGAGCTGACAAGAGAAGATTTATGGAAAATCTTGCAGAAACAGCAGAAAATGCTGCTAAAGCACATGATTTACAAACCCTACACAAAATTACCCTGCAAATTTGCGGAAACAGAAACAACTATCACAGCATACCCATCAGAGATAACCAAGGCAGACTGCTCACCACAGAACAAAAACAAGACATGCAGTGGACTAAACACTTCTCCGACCTCTTGAACAGACCTGATCCTGAAAATCCCCCAGATATTCAACCAGCCTCTCAGGACATTGACATTATTACTGAACCATCAAGCAAACAAGAAATCCTTAAAGCTATCCACACTTTAAAGAACAACAAAGCACCAGGCAAAGACGAACTGCCAGCAGAACTTCTCAAAGTAGATCCCAACACAACTGCTAGCATTCTAGAACCATTGTTCAAGGATATTTGGGAAAAAGAAATGTTGCCTGATGACTGGACTGAAGGAACAATAGTCAAAATCCCTAAAAAAGGAGACTTAACAGACTGCAATAATTGGAGGGGAATTTCTCTACTCTCAGTACCAAGCAAAATATTTTGTAAAATCATCATAATGCGGCTTGAAAAAGGAGTAGATAAATGCTTACGAGTGGAACAAGGAGGATTAAGAAAGGGCAGAGGAACAAAAGAGCACATCTTCGCCATATGTAACATTTTAGAACAATGCAACGAATGGCAGAGAAGTATATATATTAATTTTGTGGACTTTGAGAAAGCCTTTGACAGCGTCCATAGAGACGGTCTGTGGAAAATTTTACGATATTATGGAATTCCAGAAAAAATAGTCAATGTAATGTGCTCATCTAGGGGTATGTGTTGTTTACATTGCTTTCAGACGAACAGTGAGTTGAAACGACACAGCACGAACGAATATTGAGTTCTTTGCTTTTATTCGTTGAATCGCCAGTTATCGCAAACATACATTCACGCTTCCTCGTGCTCGTCTTGCTTGGCTGAATCTAGCCACCTGGTCGGACTTCCCAAACACTACAGGAATTTATCAGCGTCTCTCGAACCATCCATCTATACTTCACGAACTCTGATATCTGACATTACGACGTATGGAAAAACATTCAGTCCTCCTATTGAAATATAACGTTCACTTCACAAATCATTTATTCTTCTCAGGCGTCTATTCATGCGTCCTCTCTCAGTCGGGGCCGAACTTCAACTGCCTTACTTCAGTCTCTCGGTTCACGTCTTCCGTTCACATCTCATGCTTTTCTTGTGTCTCTCACTTCGTTCACCATGAGACACACGAGACTCACTTCTCCCGTTTTTCTCTTCTCTCACGGGTCCTCCGACCTTTTTCTCCCCATCGGGAACTCTCTGGGGTTTCCCCGGGAATTCACAACATTACAGTCAACATAATTGCTCTCTTCTATAAAGACTTTTCCTGCAGTATAAAAAATTACAAAACATCTTTTCCAGTAAAGACGGGTGTAAGACAGGGATGTGTTATGTCATCTCTCCTCATCAACCTTGTGATTGATTGGATACTAAAGAACACAGTAGACAGGACATTAAGAGGCATACGATGGACTCCATTCACCATGCTTGAGGACCTTGATTTTGCAGATGATATAGCACTCCTATCACATAAACATGAACATATACAAGAGAAAAGTAACAGACTAAACTGCACAGCAGAAATGGTGGGACTGAGAATAAATACAAAGAAAACTAAGATCATGACAAACAGTCCAAACCAACAACCAGTGACCATAAGTAACCAATCACTTGAAAATGTAGAACATTTCACGTATCTTGGCAGTGTGGATTTTGTCCCTACTGGGAGGGACAGAGGAAAGACATACAGTCACGTCTGAACAAAGCTAGAGCTGCTTTTGGAAGGATGAGGCAAATCTGGAAATCCAACAATTACTGCAAAGGAACGAAACTCCGACTCTACAAGAGCATCATTTTGCCAGTTCTTCTCTATGAGCGGAATGCTGGGAGAATGACCAGAAAGAATGCACACAAGCTGTCCACCTTCCACCACACATGTCTACGTAGAATTATCAAAATTTTCTGGCCAGATACAATCTCAAACACTAAACTACTTCAAGCCACAAACCAAGAAACTTTAGACAGTATGATTACCAAGAGAAGATGGAAATGGCTTGGCCACGTTATGAGAATGACTTCTGATATACCTGCCAAAACAGCTCTAACATGGACACCAGAGGGAAAGAGAAAACAGGGGCGCCCAAAAACAACATGGAGACGAACGATGGAAAGTGACCTGAGTGCGGCATCTTTGACATGGAAAACTGCACTGAAGATTGCACAGGACAGGAAAGCATGGAAAGTCCTCTCTGAAGCCTCATGTGCCACTAGGCATAACGAGAACTGATACATGCCGTGATTGTAACTGACTCGCAAAGCATGTTGAGAAAGCTTGAGACAGGCGTGCTCCATGCTGAGTGGCAAGTATCACTTCAGAGGTCCCTGGTAGTTAGCATCCTTTGGATATTTCCCCCAGGTCATACTGGCGTGAAATGAGCAGGAAAATAGACTGGACGGTTCTGCGCCGTTCTTTGGGGGCGATTAAACAGTGCAGAGGTACTGATAGATCACAACGGGCTGGGGAGAACGGCGAGGAGTTACGAGGGGATCTGGCAGACGCTCACGGGAAATGCGAGACGGGTATACAATTAGACAGTTACTAGTGCCATCATAATTATAAATCTTCGCTTGTGGACGGAGCGCTTATGGTGATGTACTAAGTGCTGTGACGTCGATTTTTAAATCAACATTCAACCTGCTCTGGGCATTTTCACAAGATATTCGTTGTTCCAATCTGCTGGTATTTCTTCGGTCTTTTAGGCTAGTTGCGTATCCTTTACAGGACGTTGCAGAAACAACCCCTGGCCGTTGTGTCGTTATTCTAGGCAAATTTACGTCCAGTAGTCGGTTTCTTAGACTTTACTAAATAATCTATGTATTCTGTTCAAAACCAGAAACGCAGTTTATCGATGGTGTGTTTTTATTAGTTTGTAAATAAAATATCCTACTCGGGTATGTGAACATCATCATCATGTAGCAGGTCATTTGCAGAACGTCGCTCTCATCACAGTCTGCCTGTAAGAAACTCGGTCTCTTGCCAGTTCGCCCGCCTCATAAACTTTCACAATCAAGGAGTCACTTATATCCTGTGCCCATCTTCGTGTCGGTCGGCCTCTGCCCCTTCTTCCTGGTACCATGCCTTCTGCTATAATTTTTTCCAATCCGTCGTGGCGCTTGATATGACCAAAATATTTCAGCTTTCGAGAAAGGATGCTCTTTATTAGCCAATCTTCCTCAATGTTCAGATCTTTTAAGATGTGGGTATGTGAACAGCAGACACAAATGTCGTTTACCATGTGCACGTAAATTGCGTGGGCTTTGTAATAATTAGAACGCTGTGGTCATTAGTGCTTAAGACCATATTTGTGAGAAAAGAGATTGTAAGTTGTGGAGACGTCATGTCTGTCCAGGTTTGTCGGCAAGGCACTTGATGTTGACATGTGGCCAAGGATATGAGACGGGCGGAAATGACGAATTTTGTGGTACGAAAACTGGCCACTTCACACAGACCACACAATATCAATAATGAATAATCAGTAAAGATAAACATATTTTTCTACCTTAAGATGTATATTTAATTTTAAAACGTACACCGTTTCTAAGTATTATATCAAATAGCAAAGATTTTTACTGATTCTCTAGGAACTATTTCCTGGGACATCGTAACCTTTGACACGAACCTCTGATTTTTCCCGCGAAAACTCCTTGCTCTCTGGAAGGCAACTTTCTCCATTAGCAACTTTCAACAATAACCATGGCTGTAAGTTGTTTCTGTTGTTTTATATTTGTAAATATATTGTTTTGAAGCAAATGCAATTGTTTTTGTTTATGTAGAGGTATGTGAGTTACAGTTTGTATGAGTAGGCGTGTGCATTCATGATAATTTATAGATAATCTTTAGTCGCTACTAACTAATCTCATTCATGGTAGTTGGTAGTGTACACTGTACAGCTACGGAACGACCGACTACTAATAATATTAGTAAGTAATAATAAAGCATGCATCTTTCCCATTGCAACATACGCCTGTGAGACCTGGACACTTACTAAACAAGCGGAATAGCGCATAAATGCATTTGAATATAAATGTTAGTTGTTACAGACAAGTTCTAAGAATATCTTGGGTAAAGAAAAGAACAAATGCATCCATACTTCAAGAGCTGAATATTGAAGAGGGTTGGCTAGTAAAGACAAAATAAAACAAAGAAAATTGAAATATTTTAGGTCACTTGAAAACGTCATGGAAGCCTAGAGAGAACAATAATGGAGGGGTATATGCCTGGGAAGAGAGGAAGGCCAAGGAGAAGATGGGTGCAGGATGTGGCAGATGATCTCCAGATGGGTGTATCAGACGCAGGACATCTTGCTCATGATAGGAAGGTTTTCTGGAGGGTTGTTATGGCAGCGAGGTTCCACGAGGGACATGCTACTGAATGAATGAATAATAAACTTAAACTAGCTTGGCAGGTCGGCGTGTCGCTTACACTTATCATGTTATTTTTGTTCACAAATCAATTAAATTCCTATTTATTTGGTTGTTTATTATTTTTAAGCTAAGGCTAAGGAAGTAATTTTAAAATGATTTATATATAATTATTTATCAATATTCATATCCATATGAATTAATTGTTAACTGTCGATTGATTGAATAAGAAGATAGGCTCTACTTGGAATAACGGTTCTAAATTAACAACTCAGAAAGTTACCCAAACAGAGCCTCATTACGTCCTACACTACAAACATTTGAAAGCTGTAACTCTGGAAATATAAGGATCGAAAAGTATCAGAAGAACGGGGGAATTCTACTACTTACCGATATCGACATCCTTTATACGTGAAAATTGTGGCACAGACGTTGCAAATAGGGCCCGAATATCTGTTCTTTCTGGCTGTCCGCGATGTCAACAGGGCGTGACTTGTCCGCAAGTCTTGTTCCGGGCGGGACATAATCAATACTGCGCGTTGTAATGTACACGCATATGGCCTCGGGTCAACTTCAAACCAGCAGTCGCCTCGAGCCAACGTCAAACCAGTAGTCGCCTCAGGACAACTTCAGACCAGCAGCCGCTATGGCGCTACACTATGACGACCACCCCTTGACGGTCGCGACTGCGACCACGGTGGCAGTTCCGACGGAAAAAGTAGGTATTGAGTGTTGTCCTACTACTATAGTGTCATCTCCGAGAGTATCCTCTGCGCTGCTACGCGCGGCGCGTAGGGGGCTAAACTAGATGGCTGAGACTCACGAGCAAATACTTTGGAGGAAGCTGCAGGAGCATCGGTAGCTGCTGCTCGTGAGTCCCAGCCATCTAGTTTAGCCCCCTCCACGCCGCGCGTAGCAGCGCTGGGGATACTCTCGGAAGTGGCGCTATAGTCGGCGAAAAGCGATCGGCAACTTACATATAGCCCGGGCCCTGCCGTAGGATAGCGCTATCGGGAGTATTGTCGCGTCGGTAATTGTTTTCGTATGCAGTAAATCCTTGTTTTTCCACCATCTAATCGCCGTAAAAAAATCCATTGCGTTCCGCGAAAATGTAGTTAATACTACTTTTGACACGGTTGAATCGCCGCAAAAGAAATCCGACTTTTACATATGTGTGAGGCTCTGTTTGGGTCAACTGTCTGTGTTGTGAGGCTCTGTTTGGGTTAACTGTCTGCGTAGTTCATATAGAACCGTTATTCCAAGTAGAGCCAGAAGATAGATTGATTAGATGAAATTGCTGGCTTGGATGTGCGAGTCAACACACACACAGCAACGGACACACGAATTTAAAGATTGTCATTATTATAATTACGATATACAAATGCTTGTCAACTTTAGTGCAGAGGCACAGATTTTTAGATAGATCTGAAATCAATCATCATGGTCTGAGAACGAATGGGCTGCTCTGACCAGTGTATGGTATCCTAATGTTACCCTTACTGAACTCAATACTTACTACTTAAGGGAAATCCAGATGAATATAGTATACAGTCTTACTGGTAGAGTGGTACCACTAGAATTACAACTCTGAATCCATGAGAATCCATGTGAGGGTTCTGGAGCCCCATTGTAGGGGGAAAACAAGAATATACCCACTGTGGACTTCCTGCGGAGTGTATCTGCCCGAGCAGCAAGGAACAGCCAACTGCACACAGATAAGTCAAACATGAAAATGCAAAACTCGGGCCCTGGCACAAAGTCCAAATGGACGAACAACTGGGACTTTTCGCTGGAGCTTACAACAGATAAACAAAGAAGAAGGAAGGAGGAAATGTTATTGTTTTAAAGAAGAGTCCCCTTAAAAAAAATCTCCTACAAGACCCATACAATTATGGGCCATGCAGTACGTCAGTACGGCTTTTTTCTAACTTAATATATGTTAGCATGTATTCCCAGCTCATTGTGTGATTATTTCAAACTCATTCACGAGTGCAATAGATCTGGTATTGTTTATTTTGCGAGGGGTAGTTAAGAAAGACAAAAGCTGCACATCTTGCATTCGAATGGGCTTTTAAGTAGGAACCTATGAATGTATGATGCGTTCATTAGGACTGAATGCAGTAGTATAGTAGAACATTTGTCAGTTAGTAGGCCGTAACATGAAATAATCACTCATATATAAATATGCTCTCATTTGGTATTATGTTTAAAAAAAAAACTTCTACTTTTCTGATTAAAAAATGGCAGGATAATGAAACATCATCTGATGCTGATCCTTTCTCAACGGCAAGCAGCCCGGGGAGGGTGCGGGAACCATTGACCTCCAGCCCAGGTCGTGACCTGCCACCTTTTGAAGATGACTCCGAGTTGATTGGTGGAGATGCTGACCCAGAGCAGGAGGAGGAGGAGGGAGAAAATCTATTTGGTGATGACATTGAAAGGTTTGTTACTTGTAAATTGTTAATTAAGGTTTATAAATATGCAGTAGCGGAAGTCATAACTAGAAATTTTATAGACTGTTCAGACCTTAATGAGTGATGGGGTTTATATCTCGCTGGTTGCCTTTGCTAACCAGACATTTCTTGGTAAATTTGTAAAATGTTGTCTTGGTGCAGATTTTAGCATATGACAAGCAAGCCAGGTTATCATGCTACTGGTTGCTCTGCTTCTCCCCCATCCTCCTTGCATATGCTAGTCTTGTGATATTTATGTCAGTTTTAAAAAGTTTGTCTTTTTGTTAGTTTGCCCAGATGTAAAAAAAATGTATAAAATGATTTTGACTTGAGCATCACTGGACTTTTTTCCCCTGCTGTTGCAGAGACTACCAGCCAATCGCAGAGCTGGACGTCTATGAAGATGTTGGCTTGGACACTTCTGAATATTCTGAGATGTCTGTTACCCAGCGTGTCGACGCAGAGAGAGAGATTCGAGACAGGGAGAGGGAGGAAGGGGTTAGAGCTGGCCGCATGAGACGAGGACTTCTGTATGGTATGTGTGTGTCTGGTGTTTGTTGTAGTTGTTTTTGGTCTCTGTTTTGAAACAAAAATATGACCTTCCGAGTTGACTAGATATAAATCTGCATTTTATCTTTTGCTGGGCACATCTGAGAATCTGTGTTCTGAATAGACTATATGTGCAAGAAATGTAGCAACGCCTGAATTGAAATCAAGGGACTTAACTAAAGAATATTTATATAAATTTTCTTTACCAATTAAGATGAGAAAGAGAATTTTTAACAGCTATACAAATCCTATCTTGATGTATGGAAATTAATCATGGACATTTGGTAGATCCCTGAAAAATCATTTGAAGGCTTCGGAGATTTTTTTTTTTTTAAGATGAATAATGAGAACATCCTAAACAGATAAAAAGAGTAATGAAGACGTCTTGAAAGAAACTGATTAACGAAGAGAACTGATTGCCCACATCACAAAGAAACATTTTACATTCTTTAGTGATGTGATGAGAAAACTGGAGTACACCGTGACAGTAGAAAAGTTGAGTGCAGCCTGTTTATACAACAACCACAAACAGCCTAATTCCAACAGGTCAGGTAGTCAGGTAGTCTTAGTTTCAGCTTCATAGCAAACGGGTTACCCCATCTTTGCTCCGCTCCTGTGCCAACGAAAAACACACAGAATGTTTATCACAGTATTAGAATTGCCTAATTCCAACGACATTGTCATCTTTCCCCATCACCCCATCCCAGAATTCATTAAAATGATCTACTCTATGCAATATTTATTTAAAACCTTTTACACTTGGCAGTTTAAAATTTCTGCAACATTGATTAGGTGCCTTCAAACATTCTCAGACTGTTATTTGTTTATCTCTGTTTTTTTTTTTTTTATTTATTTCTGACACACACACACACACCCCCCCCCCCCCCCCCCCCCATCCCTGCCAAACCTCTGTAATGGAATGTTTTGTTTTATTAAAATATGGCATATTGCTGTAAATCAACTAGCCTTCAATTTATTTGAAAAAAGGGACAATTTTTTTTATTTTTTTTAAAATTTATATTTTGCCTTTTAAAATTTCTTGAATAATTGTTGGCGTCATGTTTGCACAGCAGTTTGTCCCCTGCAGGATTAACAGCTCAAAGATGTGAATCCTAAATGTTCAAATCCTGCTGAGCCCTGTTCGACCGTAAGGTTACAGTGGGGCCTCTGACAGTTACGAAGCAACCTGAATCTGGACCAGGCAGCAGCTGTTATTGTCGTTAGCACCCCCCCAACCTTTTCTCAGTACTTTTCAGTGGGTTGTTCTTTTGTGCAGATATATTTACATGTTTAAATTTCAGAAATGGCTTTATAGTTAATGGTTAGAATGCTGGGCTTTCAAGCGGGTGCGAAATAAAATCCTCACCCGCACAGTCATAGCGGCAGCACTAGCCATATGACTGAAGATGCCTCAGGCTCAAAGACCCCCCTCCCCTGCCTAAACCGCAAAAGTGGTAAAATAAAGGCAGTTTTATGTGGCTTCGTAGTTTTTTCTTTGGGAAGACTAGGGCTGAAAGCAGTCATAATTTGTTAAAGAGCAGCAGAGATTGTTTGGCCATCGGATGAGAATGCCTTGAAAGGGAAAGACCACAAAAAAATGGAACACTGGCATCAACAACCGCCTCAAAGAAATGAAGATCAGCAAAGACAGCACATTGGAAAAAGCACTCCCCATCTGCATTCTTGGGCCCAGTTGTGGGGGAAAGAGAATACACCGACTGCTACCCCCTTCCCCAGCAAGAATGTCCTAAAAGTACTAATTAGGGGAATTTTCTCTGAAGTTGGAGTGCATGTGCTTGAGAGGGAAGGAGCCAGCTGTCTCAGGCTCACGAGCCTCATGTCCTACACTGCCCTGAATGAGCTGAAAAAAAAACAGTAAAGAGTCCTTTTGTGAATGAATCAAGCTAGCCTGATACCAGCCTTACTTAGTGACCTCTTGTGGCATGCTTGACAGGTTACAGCATTTGTTTCTGTTATTGCTTATCTTGTGGACCCCAGTAATGGTTGAAAAAATGGTGGTAGAGGTAATTATCTCTGTCTCCGACCCTGATAAACACAAGATGGCTGCTACATGTAACATTTCTGACATATTTGTGGCACATTTTTCAAATACTCAGATGATTCTGATGATGATGATGACAGACCAGCCAGAAAAAGACGAATGGCCGAACGTGCAGCTGAAGGTGTAGCCACAGAAGAGGATGAGGTTTGTAGCTTTTTGCTGTATTTTGCTGCTAGTTTTAGTTTGGTTTCTGATCTCATATGACCATAAAGGTGAAGTCGGGAGATGTGAACCAGTGTCATTGCACACAGTTATAAACCATAAGCACTCAGCCACCAGTACGGACAGCTGATAAGAAACTGCACCTGTGTTGCCGTCATCATGCAACTCGGTAGCCACAGTGACGTTACTCTTTTTACCCCAATGTTAACTCTAGTACCAATTACCTAGTGGTTGGGTGAACCGTCCGGTTTTGAACACCGACAGTGAGTCGCAGCTAAATTTGAAAGCGATTCTTCTGTTGACTACACTAAACCCTGATCATTCCAGATTCCGTAACCAACTTAGACCAAGTTGCCTCATTCTTTGCCATCATGTGCAGCTCACTTTTTTGGGGCCACATGCTCTTATTCTCTTCTCGTTGTTTTTTAAAATCTCCTGTTATTTCTTTAGACTACCTATCTAAGAGACTGTTAATATTATTAGTTAAAAATTAACAGTTGAATTAGGTCGCACTATTGCATTTGGTAATTCATGTAAAACTGAGAAATAAATAAACAATATCTTTTTTTTTTGAAGAAGTTATTCCATACCTCTTTTGTCAGTGTCTGCTTTTTTGCTGCTTAACATCTGTTTAACAGGTGATAGGTAGCTGAGCTGGGGCACGTTTGGCTACTTGCATACTTGGTATTTGGTGAAGATGTGACTCCGCCAGTCCGTCTGCTAGAACTCCCTGTCTCTTGATGATTAAATTTTTGTGTTGGAATAATTCAGTCAATCAATCAGTTACCGTTTCCACAGTGAGGTTTGGCCGCAGTGGATCTTCAACTTGATCTGTCTCTAGTCTTAGTTGTAAACTTTCTCAGATTGCTGTTTGTCCATCTCTTGATTTTGTCCTGCCACTTGTATTACCCTCGACCTTTCCCACTAGTGGCCACGCAATTTCAATTAAAAAAGAAATTTGTTTTGAGTAATTCTCTTTTTATTCAGTCTTTCCACAACCTCTGTATTTGATTGTTTTTGTTTCCATGAAATGCTATTTGTTTTTCTGTATGTCCACATTTCCAGAGACTCAGTTCAATTTTGTAGTTGCCGGTTCATTGTCTAAGATTCTGCACCATACAGCAGGGTTGAGAATATATCATATTTAGTGATTCTTATTTTGAATGTGTTCAGTGCATTATAATTTGAAATGTTACAATTGTTAACAAATGTTCTTCCTTTCTGTTCTCAAGATGATAGAGAGTATTGAAAATCTGGAGGATATGAAAGGTCACACAGTCCGTGAGTGGGTTGCCATGCTTGGACCAAAGACAGAAATCAAACACCGTTTCAAGAACTTTCTGAGAACATACGTCGATCAGAAGGGTCACAATGTGTACAGGGAAAAAATCCGACAAATGGTTGAATGTAAGCACAGAGCATTGTGTCAAGTAGTTAGTTTTATTGAATTATGTCATTTGTTTAGTTAAATTTATTTATTCAGTTTATTTTAGTTAAACTTGCTTTAACAGTATAGTTAAACCTTTGTAATTTAATTGATTCAGTACAGCTCAACTTATGTCATTTATATGATGTACATAGGGAGTGACTGCTGTCATGACAAGAAGTGCTAAATACAATATGAAATGCGACACAAAATAAAGGGAATGGAAAAGACACACAAAATACAGCCAAACGTTTAGACCATAGTCTTAATCAACTGTGTACTAAATACGAAACAACCTGTGACTGAAAAACTCAACGGGCAAGGGAGCAGAGACAAGGTCAAAGTGAGGCCAAGAAATATGTAATGGCAGGAAACAGATGTGAATATTCTTTGATTTCTTTCCATATTATAATCCTTTATATCAGTATTTTTCCAGCCATCTCATATTTCTTGGTTCCATGTTGACCGAGGTTGTTTAAAAGCTGTAGTATTTCTTGGTTCCATGTTGACGGAGGTTGTTTAGAAGCTGTAGTATTACTGGTTCCATGTTGACGGAGGTTGTTTAGAAGCTGTAGTATTACTGGTTCCGTGTTGACCAAGGTTGTTTAGAAGCTGTAGTATTACTGGTTCCATGTTGACGGAGGTTGTTTAGAAGCTGTAGTATTACTGGTTCCATGTTGACCAAGGTTGTTTAGAAGCTGTAGTATTACTGGTTCCATGTTGACGGAGGTTGTTTAGAAGCTGTAGTATTACTGGTTCCATGTTGACGGAGGTTGTTTAGAAGCTGTAGTATTACTGGTTCCATGTTGACCAAGGTTGTTTAGAAGCTGTAGTATTACTGGTTCCATGTTGACCAAGGTTGTTTAGAAGCTGTAGTATTACTGGTTCCATGTTGACCAAGGTTGTTTAGAAGCTGTAGTATTACTGGTTCCGTGTTGACCAAGGTTGTTTAGAAGCTGTAGTATTACTGATTCCACGTTGACGGAGGTTGTTTAGAAACTGTAGTATTACTGGTTCCATGTTGACGGAGGTTGTTTAGAAGCTGTAGTATTACTGGTTTCATGTTGACGGAGGTTGTTTAGAAGCTGTAGTATTACTGGTTCCATGTTGACGGAGGTTGTTTAGAAGCTGTAGTATTACTGGTTCCGTGTTGACGGAGGTTGTTTAGAAGCTGTAGTATTACTGGTTCCATGTTGACCAAGGTTGTTTAGAAGCTGTAGTATTACTGGTTCCGTGTTGACGGAGGTTGTTTAGAAGCTGTAGTATTACTGGTTCCATGTTGACCAAGGTTGTTTAGAAGCTGTAGTATTACTGGTTCCGTGTTGACGGAGGTTGTTTAGAAGCTGTAGTATTACTGGTTCCATGTTGACGGAGGTTGTTTAGAAGCTGTAGTATTACTGGTTCCATGTTGACGGAGGTTGTTTAGAAGCTGTAGTATTACTGGTTCCATGTTGACGGAGGTTGTTTAGAAGCTGTAGTATTACTGGTTCCATGTTGACCGAGGTTGTTTAGAAGCTGTAGTATTACTGGTTCCGTGTTGACCAAGGTTGTTTAGAAGCTGTAGTATTACTGGTTCCGTGTTGACGGAGGTTGTTTAGAAGCTGTAGTATTACTGGTTCCATGTTGACGGAGGTTGTTTAGAAGCTGTAGTATTACTGGTTCCATGTTGACCGATGTTGTTTAGAAGCTGTAGTATTACTGGTTCCGTGTTGACCGAGGTTGTTTAGAAGCTGTAGTATTACTGGTTCCATGTTGACGGAGGTTGTTTAGAAGCTGTAGTATTACTGGTTCCATGTTGACGGAGGTTGTTTAGAAGCTGTAGTATTACTGGTTCCGTGTTGACGGAGGTTGTTTAGAAGCTGTAGTATTACTGGTTCCATGTTGACGGAGGTTGTTTAGAAGCTGTAGTATTACTGGTTCCGTGTTGACCGAGGTTGTTTAGAAGCTGTAGTATTACTGGTTCCGTGTTGACCAAGGTTGTTTAGAAGCTGTAGTATTACTGGTTCCATGTTGACGGAGGTTGTTTAGAAGCTGTAGTATTACTGGTTCCGTGTTGACCAAGGTTGTTTAGAAGCTGTAGTATTACTGGTTCCATGTTGACCGAGGTTGTTTAGAAGCTGTAGTATTTCTTGGTTCCATGTTGACCAAGGTTGATTAGAAGCTGTAGTATTACTGGTTCCATGTTGACCGAGGTTGTTTAGAAGCTGTAGTATTTCTTGGTTCCATGTTGACCAAGGTTGATTAGAAGCTGTAGTATTTCTTGGTTCCATGTTGACGGAGGTTGTTTAGAAGCTGTAGTATTACTGGTTCCGTGTTGACGGAGGTTGTTTAGAAGCTGTAGTATTACTGGTTCCATGTTGACGGAGGTTGTTTAGAAGCTGTAGTATTACTGGTTCCATGTTGACCGAGGTTGTTTAGAAGCTGTAGTATTACTGGTTCCATGTTGACCGAGGTTGTTTAGAAGCTGTAGTATTACTGGTTCCATGTTGACCGAGGTTGTTTAGAAGCTGTAGTATTACTGGTTCCGTGTTGACGGAGGTTGTTTAGAAGCTGTAGTATTACTGGTTCCATGTTGACCAAGGTTGTTTAGAAGCTGTAGTATTACTGGTTCCATGTTGACGGAGGTTGTTTAGAAGCTGTAGTATTACTGGTTCCGTGTTGACCAAGGTTGTTTAGAAGCTGTAGTATTACTGGTTCCATGTTGACCGAGGTTGTTTAGAAGCTGTAGTATTTCTTGGTTCCATGTTGACCAAGGTTGTTTAGAAGCTGTAGTATTACTGGTTCCGTGTTGACGGAGGTTGTTTAGAAGCTGTAGTATTACTGGTTCCATGTTGACCGAGGTTGTTTAGAAGCTGTAGTATTTCTTGGTTCCATGTTGACGGAGGTTGTTTAGAAGCTGTAGTATTACTAGTTCCGTGTTGACGGAGGTTGTTTAGAAGCTGTAGTATTACTGGTTCCATGTTGACGGAGGTTGTTTAGAAGCTGTAGTATTACTGGTTCCGTGTTGACCAAGGTTGTTTAGAAGCTGTAGTATTACTGGTTCCATGTTGACGGAGGTTGTTTAGAAGCTGTAGTATTACTGGTTCCGTGTTGACCAAGGTTGTTTAGAAGCTGTAGTATTACTGGTTCCATGTTGACGGAGGTTGTTTAGAAGCTGTAGTATTACTGGTTCCATGTTGACCAAGGTTGTTTAGAAGCTGTAGTATTACTGGTTCCATGTTGACCAAGGTTGTTTAGAAGCTGTAGTATTACTGGTTCCGTGTTGACCAAGGTTGTTTAGAAGCTGTAGTATTACTGGTTCCATGTTGACGGAGGTTGTTTAGAAGCTGTAGTATTACTGGTTCCGTGTTGACCAAGGTTGTTTAGAAGCTGTAGTATTACTGGTTCCATGTTGACGGAGGTTGTTTAGAAGCTGTAGTATTACTGGTTCCGTGTTGACGGAGGTTGTTTAGAAGCTGTAGTATTACTGGTTCCGTGTTGACCAAGGTTGTTCAGAAGCTGTAGTATTACTGGTTCCGTGTTGACCGAGGTTGTTTAGAAGCTGTAGTATTACTGGTTCCATGTTGACCGAGGTTGTTTAGAAGCTGTAGTATTACTGGTTCCATGTTGACCGAGGTTGTTTAGAAGCTGTAGTATTACTGGTTCCATGTTGACGGAGGTTGTTTAGAAGCTGTAGTATTACTGGTTCCGTGTTGACGGAGGTTGTTTAGAAGCTGTAGTATTACTAGTTCCATGTTGACCAAGGTTGTTTAGAAGCTGTAGTATTTCTTGGTTCCATGTTGACCAAGGTTGTTTAGAAGCTGTAGTATTTCTTGGTTCCATGTTGACGGAGGTTGTTTAGAAGCTGTAGTATTACTGGTTCCATGTTGACGGAGGTTGTTTAGAAGCTGTAGTATTACTGGTTCCATGTTGACCAAGGTTGTTTAGAAGCTGAAGTATTACTGGTTCCATGTTGACGGTGGTTGTTTAGAAGCTGTAGTATTACTGGTTCCATGTTGACCAAGGTTGTTTAGAAGCTGTAGTATTACTGGTTCCATGTTGACTGAGGTTGTTTAGAAGCTGTAGTATTACTGGTTCCATGGTGACGGAGGTTGTTTAGAAGCTGTAGTATTACTGGTTCCATGTTGACGGAGGTTGTTTAGAAGCTGTAGTATTACTGGTTCCATGTTGACGGAGGTTGTTTAGAAGCTGTAGTATTACTGGTTCCATGTTGACGGAGGTTGTTGACCACGGTTTTAGAAGCTGTAGTATTACTGGTTCCGTGTTGACCAAGGTTGTTTAGAAGCTGTAGTATTACTGGTTCCATGTTGACGTTGAGGTTGTTTAGAAGCTGTAGTATTACTGGTTAGAAGCTGTAGTGTTGACGTTGACCAAGGTTGTTTAGAAGCTGTAGTATTACTGGTTCCGTGTTGACCAAGGTTGTTTAGAAGCTGTAGTATTACTGGTTCCGTGTTGACCGAGGTTGTTTAGAAGCTGTAGTATTACTGGTTCCGTGTTGACCGAGGTTGTTTAGAAGCTGTAGTATTACTGTTTCCGTGTTTGACCAAGGTTGTTTGAGCTGTAGTATTAGGTTGTTTAGAAGCTGTAGTATTACTGGTTCCGTGTTGACCAAGGTTGTTTAGAAGCTGTAGTATTACTGGTTCCGTGTTGACCAAGGTTGTTTAGAAGCTGTAGTATTACTGGTTCCGTGTTGACCAAGGTTGTTTAGAAGCTGTAGTATTACTGGTTCCGTGTTGACGGAGGTTGTTTAGAAGCTGTAGTACTGGTTCCGTGTTTGAAGGTTGTTTAGAAGCTGTAGTATTACTGGTTCCGTGTTGACCAAGGTTGTTTAGAAGCTGTAGTATTACTGGTTCCATGTTGACCGAGGTTGTTTAGAAGCTGTAGTATTACTGGTTCCATGTTGACCGAGGTTGTTTAGAAGCTGTAGTATTACTGGTTCCATGTTGACCGAGGTTGTTTAGAAGCTGTAGTATTACTGGTTCCATGTTGACCGAGGTTGTTTAGAAGCTGTAGTATTACTGGTTCCATGTTGACCGAGGTTGTTTAGAAGCTGTAGTATTACTGGTTCCATGTTGACCGAGGTTGTTTAGAAGCTGTAGTATTACTGGTTCCATGTTGACCGAGGTTGTTTAGAAGCTGTAGTATTACTGGTTCCGTGTTGACCGAGGTTGTTTAGAAGCTGTAGTATTACCGAGGTTGTTAGAAGCTGTAGTATTACTGGTTCCGTGTTGGTTGTTTAGAAGCTGTAGTATTACTGGTTCCATGTTGACGGAGGTTGTTTAGAAGCTGTAGTATTACTGGTTCCATGTTGACCAAGGTTGTTTAGAAGCTGTAGTATTACTGGTTCCATGTTGACGGAGGTTGTTTAGAAGCTGTAGTATTACTGGTTCCATGTTTGACTGTAGTAGGTTGTTTAGAAGCTGTAGTATTACTGGTTCCGTGTTGACCGAGGTTGTTTAGAAGCTGTAGTATTACTGGTTCCGTGTTGACCGAGGTTGTTTAGAAGCTGTAGTATTACTGGTTCCGTGTTGACCGAGGTTGTTTAGAAGCTGTAGTATTACTGTTGGTTTCCTGTAGTATTAGGTTGTTTGAGCTGTAGTATTACTGGTTTGTTGACCAAGGTTGTTTAGAAGCTGTAGTATTACTGGTTCCATGTTGACCAAGGTTGTTTAGAAGCTGTAGTATTACTGGTTCCGTGTTGACCAAGGTTGTTTAGAAGCTGTAGTATTACTGGTTCCATGTTGACCGAGGTTGTTTAGAAGCTGTAGTATTACTGGTTCCGTGTTGACCAAGGTTGTTTAGAAGCTGTAGTATTACTGGTTCCATGTTGACCGAGGTTGTTTAGAAGCTGTAGTATTACTGGTTCCATGTTGACCGAGGTTGTTTAGAAGCTGTAGTATTACTGGTTCCATGTTGACGGAGGTTGTTTAGAAGCTGTAGTATTACTGGTTCCATGTTGACCGAGGTTGTTTAGAAGCTGTAGTATTACTGGTTCCATGTTGACCGAGGTTGTTTAGAAGCTGTAGTATTACTGGTTCCATGTTGACGGAGGTTGTTTAGAAGCTGTAGTATTACTGGTTCCATGTTGACCGAGGTTGTTTAGAAGCTGTAGTATTACTGGTTCCATGTTGACCAGGTTGTTTAGAAGCTGTAGTATTACTGGTTCCATGTTGACCGAGGTTGTTTAGAAGCTGTAGTATTACTGGTTCCATGTTGACGGAGGTTGTTTAGAAGCTGTAGTATTACTGGTTCCCCGAGGTTGTTGAGAAGCTGTAGTATTACTGTGTTGAGAAGCTTTAGAAGCTGTAGTATTACTGGTTCCATGTTGACCAAGGTTGTTTAGAAGCTGTAGTATTACTGGTTCCATGTTGACCAAGGTTGTTTAGAAGCTGTAGTACTGGTTATTACTGGTGTTTAGAAGTTAGACTGGTTCCAGTTTGTTTAGAAGTTGACCGAGGTTGTTTAGAAGCTGTAGTATTACTGGTTCCATGTTGACGGAGGTTGTTTAGAAGCTGTAGTATTACTGGTTCCATGTTGACGGAGGTTGTTTAGAAGCTGTAGTATTACTGGTTCCATGTTGACCGGAGGTTGTTTAGAAGCTGTAGTATTACTGGTTCCATGTTGACCGAGGTTGTTTAGAAGCTGTAGTATTACTGGTTCCAGGTTGTTTGAACGTAGAGGTTGTTTAGAAGCTGTTTAGTATTACTGGTTCCGTGTTGACCGAGGTTGTTTAGAAGCTGTAGTATTACTGGTTCCATGTTGACGGAGGTTGTTTAGAAGCTGTAGTATTACTGGTTCCATGTTGACTGGAGGTTGTTTAGAAGCTGTAGTATTACTGGTTCCATGTTGACGGAGGTTTTGTATTACTTCCGTGTTGAAGCTGTTTAGTGTAGTATTACTGGTTCCGTGTTGACGGAGGTTGTTTAGAAGCTGTAGTATTACTGGTTCCATGTTGACGGAGGTTGTTTAGAAGCTGTAGTATTACTGGTTCCATGTTGACGGAGGTTGTTTAGAAGCTGTAGTATTACTGGTTCCATGTTGACGGAGGTTGTTTAGAAGCTGTAGTATTACTGGTTCCATGTTGACCGAGGTTGTTTAGAAGCTGTAGTATTACTGGTTCCATGTTGACCGAGGTTGTTTAGAAGCTGTAGTATTACTGGTTCCATGTTGACGGAGGTTGTTTTAGAAGCTGTAGTATTACTGGTTCCATGTTGACGGAGGTTGTTTAGAAGCTGTAGTATTACTGGTTCCATGTTGACCGAGGTTGTTTAGAAGCTGTAGTATTACTGGTTCCATGTTGACCGAGGTTGTTTAGAAGCTGTAGTATTACTGGTTCCATGTTGACCGAGGTTGTTTAGAAGCTGTAGTATTACTGGTTCCATGTTGACGGAGGTTGTTTAGAGGTTGTTTAGAAGCTGTAGTAGAAGCTGTAGTATTACTGGTTCCATGTTGACGGAGGTTGTTTAGAAGCTGTAGTATTACTGGTTCCATGTTGACCAAGGTTGTTTAGAAGCTGTAGTATTACTGTATATCATGTCAAATTCTCCCTTTGTGTTCAAGTTATACAGAGTTGAGTTTATTCATTGTCTTCCCACTCAGTGAACAAAGAGAGTTTGGTGATTGACTACAACATGCTGGCATCCATGGAACAGGTTTTGGCATATTTCCTGCCGGAAGCACCTTCAGAGATGTTGAATAACCTAGATGAGGTGAGATGCAGGTCTTATTGTACATTCAATCAGTCCCCCGTGTGGGTTCCGGGGCCCCATTGTGGGGAAAACAAGAATAGACCCACTGCCTCCCCAAAAGCATGTCGTAAGAGTCGACTAATTGGGGAGCTTCCTTTGAAGTCGGAGTGCATCTGCCGGAGAGGCAAGGAACCAACAGTCTGTATTAAAGAGAACGAGATCTGTAAAACTGATGCACACTCGACACTCAGGTTCTGGAGCAGGACTGCAGTTCAGTAGTGGATGAGCAACCAGAACTTTCTGCCAGAGTGTACAGCTGGTGAATGTGAAGAAGATTCAATCAGTGTTTTCTAGCATATGCAAATATTTGTTGCTGTTTGTTTTCTGAAACTGGCAGAATCTATGACAATTAAAATGAACAATCCCTTATTGCGCAGACATGCAGTAAAATATAAATTGGCATAGTAATCAAGTAGCTGAACTTGAATCTCTGGCAAAATGTACAGTGTAACTACTTACAGTTGTCATTTGTGTAGTTAGTAGTAGTTTTGACGCTTCATTATATGTTGACATTACGTTTTATATGCTTCATTATATGTTGACATTCATTTTTTATGCTTCATTATATGTTGACATTCGTTTTTTATGCTTCATTATATGTTGACATTCGCTTTTTATGCTACATTATATGTTGTCAATTGTTTTTTTTTTATGCTTCATTAAATGTTGACATTCGTTTTTTATGCTTCATTATATGTTGCCATTCATTTTTTATGCTTCATTAAATGTTGACATTCGTTTTTTATGCTTCATTATATGTTGACATTCGTTTTTTTTTTTTTTTGCTTCATTATATGTTGTCAATTGTTTTTTTATGCTTCATTAAATGTTGACATTCGTTTTTTATGCTTCATTATATGTTGTCATTCTTTTTTTATGCTTCATTAAATGTTGACATTCGTTTTTTATGTTTCATTATATGTTGACGTAACCCTTTAGTAATGCTCCTGATAAAATATGCCAGTCAATAAATTGCGCAGTGTATGAGTTTTTTAAACGTAAATGGTTCTGTTGCAGGCTGCTAAAGAAGTGGTCTTTAGCATGTATCCAAATTACGAAAGAATTACAAGGACCATACATGTGCGAATAGCAGACTTACCTTTGATTGAAGAAATCAGGTCACTAAGGTAAAGTATTTTGTATTTTAATCTTCTGATACAATTTTTGAAATGAAATAATTTTATGGCTAACTCTGGGATTGTAAAATAACTTCTGTATGAGAATTGATTTGTGAAATGATTACCCCACTTGTCCCGAGGAATTTTCATGGGTTAAAAAAAAAAAGTAAAGTAAAGATCCCTTTTCACGCCTTTCGGCGCATCGGGCATATGGGCAGAGCATCCCATATTTTTTACAGACCAATCGGCACTCGGTGGGTAATGTGGTCAGCATTACGCCGGCCGACTTTACTTCCCCAGAAAGGGCCATCCTCGTACCCATTTGAGGCTGGGTCGACCTGCAACGTCCCATATAATGATAAAATATCCACGCAGTCCGCAGTGGGTTTCGATCGCGGTACGTTGGATTACGAGTCGGACTCGCAACGCCTTAGCCACAGACGCCGCAATTTTCATGGGATTTCTAAATTATTAAGAATTTGTGTGTACTTGTAAATAAATTCATGGAAATACAGCAGTATATGTTTCAGGTTTGTTATGCCATTTATTACTGTTCTTGTTTAATGCAGACACGTTGGAAAAATAATTTCTTCTTGTGTTTTAGGGAATGTTTATTTTGCTTTTCTATGAAAGTGTTTATTCTGCCTTTTTATCTCCTAATTAATCATTCATAATCCTTTTCCATTTGATGACATGTTCATTTATCCTTAGCTTTATTTTATGGTTTATTCATTACAATGATCTATTCCTCTAACTGCTTTTCTGTATGTGTTTTGTATGCATTTCCTTATTTTAAGATAATACTTGACAAGAAATATCCAAATCATGTTGCAGGCAGCTTCATTTGAACCAGTTGATCCGCACAAATGGGGTGGTGACAAGTGTGACAGGTGTACTTCCACAGCTGAGTGTCATTCGTTACGACTGCAACAAGTGTTCTTTTGTGTTGGGTCCATTCTATCAAACACAGAACACAGAAATCAAGCCTGGATCTTGCCCCGAGTGTCAGTCCCAGGGGCCATTTGAGATTAATATGGAACAGGTATGAAATTAGGTAAAGATGATACCTCTATTGGGAAGTAACTAGGTGACACGTATAGCGGCTCACTGAATTATTAGGTCCTGTGTAGTTTCTGGTGCCCCATTTGTTGGGGAAGGGGAAGAACAGACCTACCGCACCCCTAAATAGTGTGCAATAAAAGGCAACCAATCTGAGGTTTGTTGAAATAGCATGTGTTGGGCCGAAAGATGCTAACTGCCTTTTAAAGGCGAAACAGAAGTGGAATTATGGAGACGACAACCAGTCAACATCCTGGCTGCTTTACCTTCTTAGAGGTCGAAATTTTATGTAACACTTAAAAAACTAACCTTTCCAATATGGGACACAATTTTTTTTTTATTATTTTCTGAAAGCCCTGACCCACATTTGTTGGGGGGCCCTAATATAACCCAACAGTTGAACAGGGTTTCTGGGACTTGTGCCCGGGCGATTCTCATCTGAATGGTGGTAATTTGTGTCACCAGGTGTTTATTGCTTATTGTTTGCTTCTGGTGGGGTTAATAAACCTCATTCTTTCAATTATTTTTGTGACTTTATACTCCAGAGTCAACAAATGCTGCATGTAGTATAGTATGTCGCTGAGTAATATGCTTACCAAGCAACACTGGTCTAAAGCAATATATGCTGCATGTAGTATAGTATGTCGCTGAGTAATATGCTGCATGTAGTATAGTATGTCGCTGAGTAATATGCTTACCAAGCAACACTGGTCTAAAGCAATATATGCTGCATGTAGTATGGTATGTCGCTGAGTAATATGCTGCATGTAGTATGCAGAGATGAGTAATATGCTTACTAAGCAACACTGATCTAAAGGTTGGGTTACCAGTGCAGCTGGTGGATAAATTATTCTCGTAAACAGACAACAAATTTTATTGGGAAAATAATGACAGTCAACACATAACCAACCACACTGTTGGCACAGTAGCAACCATGTTGTTATTCATCGTAAAATACCGGCTAACTGCTCTGACCCCAGCATATCTCTAGTACATCAGCAAATACCCATTTTTTCTGGACATGCATGAGAAATAGAGAGAGAGAGAGAGTATTGAAGCCATGACCTGGCCTGCATGGTCACCAAGTTTTGTTGTTTAAAGTTTCAGCTGATTTTCCTGCCCTAAATAAATACAATTTAAATTTGTCAATGCAGACACTCTACAAAAACTATCAAAGAGTCACCATTCAGGAAAGCCCAGGAAAAGTACCAGCCGGCCGTCTGCCTCGTTCTAAAGATGCTATTCTTCTGGATGATCTGGTCGATACCTGCAAGCCAGGAGATGAAATTGTAAGTGTTATGTGATAGTCTTGTGCCATCTCAGTAGCTACGGGCAGTTGCTATCCGTCCTGTCTTTGGTGTATATTCTGCTAAGATACCCTGACCATTTGATGCTGCCTGACTCTTTTGCCCTTATTATTTCCTTGCTTTATTTTGTGATTAGTTCTTCTTCTTCTTCACTTCCTCTTTTACCGCTGTGGGTGTCGAGGGAGATAAAAGGTTCTGTTTCTAGCTCTTCTGGCTGCCTCGACCATAGGCACCTCGTGCTGTTGTAGAGTTTCTCTGATGTTATCCTTCCATCTTGTTCTTGGTCTACCCCGTGCTCTACGTCCTTCTTCTCTTTCCATGTATGCTTTGTATGGTATGGTGTCACAAGGCATTCTCTCTAAGTGGGCAAACCATTTCACTTGCTGTCTATGTATGTAATCCAGAATTGGCTCTGTGCCGACTTGTTCTCTTATGATCTCATTCCTGATCTTATCTCTTATGGTCACTCCTACAGCCCTTCTCAGACATCTCATTTCCGTGGCTACTAATTTTCTTTTATGGTTTGTTGTGAGTGACCATGTCTGGCACTGGTAGCACAGAGTTGGTATAAATATTCTTTGAATAAGATGTCTCTTTGTGCTGATTGGGATTGTCTTATGCTGTGATTAGTTCATTGTTATAATATTTATAACCAGTGTACCTTGTCTTTTTCATTTCTACTTCCTTTCACAGCATAAGCATCCATATTTTCTGTTTATAATGAGTTCTAGAACTTTCCTGGCCACTGGTTGTCTCCACACCCACAGAATTCACTATTTTTTTTAAGCCTAGGATACCCATACTCCATCATAACAATAAAGAGTGACAGGATGAATAGATAGAGTAGAACAGGAGTTGGAACACCCTGAAGCATTTTGTGTAACGATCGGTTTATTATTGTTTGGCCATAGCAAGTAAAAACGGAGATGATGTCATTAGCGTCATTGCTTTAGGTCCACTGTCTCATTTCGCACTTTTGTCGCATCGTGCTAGATCTCTATTCTTTTTCTTCACCACATTCACCGGCTGTAAACTCCTGCGGAAGGTTCTGTTTGTTTGTCCACTTCTGGGCTCTGGTCTAGTTCCAAAACCAGAGCATTGCGTGTAAAGCAGTTTTACAGATCTGGCTTATTTGTGGGCACACTGTTGGTTCATTGCTTCTCAGGCAGATGCACTCTGAATTCAGGGGAATCTTCCAATTAGTCGACTTTCTTTACATGCTTTTGGGTAGGCAGTGGGTCTGTTCTTGTTTTTTCCCACAATGGGGCCTCAAAACCCGCAGAGGGAAGACCTCTAATTTAAGAGACCAATCAGCACTCGATATGTTATGTGGTCAGAATATCACTGGCTGCTTTTACTTCACTGAATATATTCTGAACTTGTTTTAAGCTGGGGATGTCTGACAAACCTGCTAGCTACAGTGCTACTAAAATACCATTATTACCTTACCGAAATAAAATTTTACACTACATAAATCCATTATTAACCACATACCCAATCTTCCAATGAATATTTTGCTTTCAGGAGCTGACTGGTATTTACCACAACAATTACGATGGGTCCCTGAACACAGCAAATGGTTTCCCAGTGTTTGCAACTGTCATTCAGGCCAACTATGTCACCAAGAAGGATGATAAAACAGCAGTGGCATCCCTCACAGATGAAGATATCAAGGCAATTGTTGCCCTGTCTAAAGATGAACGGATTAGTGAAAAGGTCAGTTTTCAAGTCCTAATGTTCACTATTTGCTAATACAAAATCTTGATTATTTCTGATTCCTCAAATCAATAAAATACAGTAAAGACGTTTTAAAAAGCATCAGAGAAATTTAATCATGTCTAAGAGTACAATATAGTAAATTGCATTAATGAGGGAAGAAATTTAAAACAATTAGACACAGGGATAACATCAGGAAAAGATGTATTACAGGGCAAGCAAAAAACTATTTTACAGAATAAACTGAAATGTGGAGAAAGAATTTTAGCGTGTTACATAGAATGTTGCTGTGAATCCTGGGAAATGGTAAACAAGGCAGAAAATTCCTTGTCGCCCTAGAGGTGTAATTTCTAAATTTTGAACAACCAAAATGTGCTAGAAATGTTTTTCAAGAGACTGAGTTACCTCTGAACCATGTATGATAGCTCCAGGACTACCACAGGGACCTCTGAACCATGTATGATAGCTCCAGGACACAGGGACCTCTGAACCATGTATGATAGCTCCAGGACTCTACCACAGGGACCTCTGAACCATGTATGATAGCTCCAGGACTCTACCACAGGGACCTCTGAACCATGTATGATAGCTCCAGGACTACCACAGGGACCTCTGAACCATGTATGATAGCTCCAGGACTCAGGGACCTCTGAACCATGTATGATAGCTCCAGGATCTACCACAGGGATCTCTGAATGTATGATAGCTCCAGGACTACCACAGGGACCTCTGAACCATGTATGATAGCTCAGGACTCTACCACTGGACCTCTGAACAGTATGATGAGCTCCAGGACTACCACAGGGACCTCTGAACCATGTATGATAGCTCCAGGACTCTACCACAGGGACCTCTGAACCATGTATGATAGCTCCAGGACTACCACAGGGACCTCTGAACCATGTATGATAGCTCCAGGACTCAGGGATCTCTGAACCATGTATGATAGCTCCAGGACTCTACCACAGGGACCTCTGAACCATGTATGATAGCTCCAGGACTCTACCACAGGGACCTCTGAACCATGTATGATAGCTCCAGGACTACCACAGGGACCTGCAATTTCACCTGTGCTGATTAGTGTTTTTGCGAGCAAGATTGCATACCTGGAAACACCTGGAAGATGTTGACATTTGCAGATGTTGTTCTCGTATATAGAAAGGGGAGAGATCGGGATCAAATAGCTAAAGAGTTACAGGCAACAGTAGATAAGGTGATCGACTGGTGTACAGAGATGAGTGCTGTAATCAACCCAGAAAAGGCAACCGTCCTGTAGTGTTCTTTGGACAACAAGATTATTAGAGTGGATGTCCCCAGACACAAAATAAATTTCAGGGACATCAAAAGAGACAAAAAACTGTGGTACCTGGGTATAAAATTTAACAGAAGTTTGTCTTTCAAGGATCACATAGAGAGAATTAAGAAAATATCTGAATGTACTAAAGATTATGGCAGCGATGGACATGGAGCAGAGAATGCTGTTCACAGCTAGAGAAACTAGAGTGCATACAGAATGAAGTTATGCAGGTGATCCTGGGATGTACAAGAGACACCCTAATTGTGTGCATGCAATACATCCTTGCACAACAAACATGTCATCCAATAGGTGCTCTGTTCCCATGCCAACATCACAACAAACATGTCATCCAATAGGTGCTACGTTCCTGTGCCAACATCACAGCAAACATGTCATCCCTAGGTGCTCTGTTCCTGTGCCAACATCACAGCAAACATGTCACCCCTAGGTGCTCTGTTCCTGTGCTAACATCACAGCAAACTTGTCACCCCATAGGTGCTCTGTTCCTGTGTCAACACCACAGCAAACATATCACCCCCTAGGTGCTCTGTTTTGGTGCCAACATCACAGCAAACATGTCACCCCCCTAGGTGCTCTGTTCCTGTGCCAACACCACAGCAAACATATCACCCCCTAGGTGCTCTGTTTTGGTGCCAACATCACAGCAAACATATCGCCCCCCTAGGTGCTCTGTTTTGGTGCCAACATAACAGCAAACATATCACCCCCTAGGTGCTCTGTTTTGGTGCCAACATCACAGCAAACATATCATCCCCTAGGTGCTCTGTTCCTGTGCCAACATCACAGCAAACATGTCATCCCATAGGTGCTCTGTTCCTGTGCCAACATCACAGCAAACATGTCACCTTTCTAGGTGCTCTGTTCCTGTGCCAACATCACAGCAAACATGTCACTCCCATAGGTGCTCTGTTCCTGTGCCAACAAAAACTACACAGAAATCCTATCACTGTCCTACTTTGTGAAATAATTGACACAGACCAGAGTCTCTGCAAAGTTAATAGCATACACATGCATTAAATACCTATAGCAGCTGTCAGAAGTGCCAACACAAAGGCCAGTGCTAGAAATGCAGTTTATCATCCAAGAAAGCAGCAGTTACAAAACATTTACTGTAACCATGTAGTCCTTTATGTAGGAAGTCTTGCTTGGGTGGATATTTTAGTTCTGTATTTAAAATGTCACAAACTTTGAATATCCAGACTCTATAATAAACAGCAGTGGAGACTGTTTGATAGAAATCAAAGGACGATGGCCATAGCAATGCAAGTCTTTGGTTAAGCACCAGCAACGAGATCAAAATTATAATTTTGAGAGCATGCATCTTCTCTGTGGCAACATACGGATGTAAGTCGTGGACTATTTCTCAGTCCTTTAGAAAGAGAGTAGGGGCTTTTGAGCTGAAATACTATAGATAGATTCTCAGAATATCTTGGACGAAGAAGATGAGAAATACTGACATCTTGAAAGATCTAAACATCAAGGAAGATTGGCTAATAAACAGCATCCTGTCTTGGAAGCTGAAATATTTTGGCCATTTCAAGCGCCAGGGCGAATTGGAAAAAAAATTATAGCAGAAGGCACGGTACCAGGAAGGAGGGGCAGGGGCCGACCAACACGAAGATGGGCACAGGATATAAGTGACTCCTTGAGTATGAAAGTACAAGATGCAGGAGAACTGGCGAGAGACCGAGTTTCTTTCAGGCAGACTGTGATGAGAGCGACGTTCTGCAAAGGACATGCTACATGATGATGATTGTAGAGAGCAGGAAATGTGGAATAGGTGTACACACTGAACAGTGGTGGGTCCAGGACTTCATTGTCTACATGTGACACTTGGAGATGCACGGCCATTTGACAATGGATGGAATGCAAATGAATTGGCAGCAGAGGAGAAATTGTTCTAGGCAGAATATGTCACATGATAGTGATGCTGTCATATTTAAAATTTGGAGGGGGGGGGGTGGCGGAGACATGGAAACAGATTGTTGTACCTCTAGTAGCTAGTGTTAAGTGTTACAGAATTCAGAATCTTAAAATTTGTAGATAATATCTTGCTTGTGACAAATACATACTTTTGCGTCTCTACAGATCTTTGCCAGCATGGCTCCATCTATTTATGGCCATGAAGACATCAAGAGAGCCATTGCTCTAGCCATATTTGGAGGAGAAGCAAAAAACCCTGGCCTAAAACATAAGGTGTGTATATTTTTATTACTTTGTAGTTAATACCTTTACAATAAGAATTTATTCTGAAATGCCACAATAATCACAATAGTTCTTAACGATTTCTTTTCTAAGCATTAATCTCCAGTCTAATGTGTCAGCTTTATTTCTGTCCCCATCTCCAGTCTAATGTGTCAGCTTTATTTCTGTCCTCATCTCTAGTCTAATGTGTCAGCTTTATTTCTGTCCCCATCTCCAGTCTAATGTGTCAGCTTTATTTCTGTCCCATCTCCAGTCTAATGTGTCAGCTTTATTTCTGTCCCCATCTCCAGTCTAATGTGTCAGTCTACATATGTCCCCAGCTCCAGTTTATCAGCTTTATTTCTGTCTGTCTCCAAACCCAGCTTTATTTCTGTCCCCATCTCCAGTCTAATGTGTCAGCTTTATTTCTGTCCCCATCTCTAATGTGTCAGCTTTATTTCTGTCCCCATCTCCAGTCTAATGTGTCAGCTTTATTTCTTTCCCCATCTCCAGTCTAATGTGTCAGCTTTATTTCTGTCCCCATCTCCAGTCTAATGTGTCAGCTTTATTTCTTTCCCCATCTCCAATCTGTGTCAGCTTTATTTCTGTCCCCATCTCCACTAGTCTGCCAAATTTCATTTGACCTCTGATATATGCGCATCATTTGCCTGTTGGCTTGAAGGCTGTGGGTTTGAATCCACAGGGAGTCAGATTCTTTATAATTGTCATTGGCTGCAAGGTCAGCCCTGTCTAAAATGATTACCATGAAATATCCCGGGAAGTAAAGGTAGCTCGCATGCTGTTGATATCACCTACGAAATGCTGATTGATCTAAACATGAAGTTATCACCATATTACTGATTTGAAAGGGATGCTTTACTTTCTTTTTTTCCTTGTATTACCTTCACTTTTATTGCTTTGTCTGTTCTGTGGGTTTAATTACTTAGCAGGTAATGTACACTTGTACTGTTCAACTGTAGGTGAGAGGTGATATCAACATACTCATTTGTGGAGACCCTGGCACTGCCAAGAGTCAGTTTCTGAAGTACATTGAGAAGACCGCACCCAGAGTTGTCTTTGCTACAGGCCAGGGGGCGTCAGCTGTAGGTTTGACAGCTTATGTTCAGAGGAACCCAGTCACCAGAGAGTGGACTCTGGAAGCCGGGGCTTTGGTACTTGCAGACAAGGGGGTGTGTCTCATTGATGAGTTCGACAAGGTAATATTATAGATATTTGATTCTGCTTTGAAAAATGCTTGCGTGTGTATGTATGGAATGTGTGTGTGTGCATTTATGTCCATATATGTATGTGTGTGTGTTTTTCTGTTTGTGTATGTATGTATGTATTAAGTATTTCACTGTTTGTGTATAAAGTATGTCAGTATATGAGTATGCATGTATGAGAATGTACGAGTATATATACGTTTGTGTGAGTGTGTAAGGTTGTGTACACATGATGCATGTTTGCATTATTCTATAATGTAAATGTCTTTATTATTTCCATATCATGCATTATTGATAACAGGCATTGGTTCTCTGAAAAATGAGTGCTTAGAAGAGCCGAATGTCAGACGGGCCTGCGTGCCCAATTTGTAACCCTCTGAAAATAAAGTTTATTTGTTTGTTCGTTTAGTTGTGCCCACAGATATACACACTTAATAACAATCTTTGCCAGCAGTTTTGCCTAGTGGAGAGGAAAGATGAAAACATGGTTTTGATAATGCACTTGGAAGTGTTGTAACTCAATTTATCTCAATATTATGTGCTGTTAAAAAAAAAGCATAGTTCATCAACAGCTTTTTCCCTTTAAAAAAAAATATATACACAAACAAAAGAGCATAGTTATCTGGTGGCACATTTTTATTAGTTGATGGGAAAGCCTGTAGCCTAAAAACTATCATGGCCCAGATGCAACACGAAATAATTGTCAGTTGGTTGAGCTCCTTCTGTTCTTGTCTGAAGAGTTTCATTTCCTAAATTCAAAATATTTTAAATGTCAAAATTATGGTCCTTTCAGTAGCTAACGCCCCCCCATTACCCCCCCCCCCCCCCCCCCCCCCCCCAAAGAGGGATTAAGCACTGCATGATGAGTATTTTTTAAAACTGTAAATTGAAATTTTCTCATCAGTCAAAATTAGATCGCCTCTTGTCTTCGATCAAAATAGTACTTTTCAAAAGGGCGACCATCTTATTGCAGTTTTAGCCGGGACAGTAATCATTTTTTTTAATCATCAATGCCCCCCCCCCCCCCCCCCCCCAATATTTATTTTTTAAAGTATCAAAGCGGTGGTATAAGTTTGCCCCCCCCCCCCACTTCCAAATAAACATTTTGTCCTGATTAAAATAGGATGATGTGGTTACCATAACTTTAACATCCTGTTTACCCTATAACTAGTGATGTTTTGTTTACATCTTTGTGCACTGTGCTAGCTGTCGATCCTTGCAAGATTTGTGTGTTTAAAACAAAAACAACAGGGTAACAAGGTTAATATAATACAACCAGAATATTTCATTTATCGATCCTAGACTTCATTAATTTTTTTCTATTCCTAGATGAAGACTTTTTTTTTTTCTGATTTATGCCTTGCCACGATGTACAAGCTAAACTATTTCCTGTTGCTGTTTGTTGTCACATCATCCACTCTTGTACTGTTCTCATATCTTATGATGATTTGTTGTGGAATAATTCTACAGATGAATGATCAAGATCGAACTAGTATACATGAAGCTATGGAACAGCAAAGTATCTCTGTGTCCAAGGCCGGCATTGTCACGTCCCTTCAGGCCAGATGCACCATCATCGCAGCATCCAACCCGATAGGAGGTCGGTACGACCCATCACTAACATTCTCCGAAAATGTAAGTGCAGATTCTTTTTTTCTTCAAATAATGAAATCACTTTTTAAATAAGGTTAACAGAAATAGTGCAGAATATACTAGCTGACTGTAAAAAAATAATAGTTTAGAAATGAATATTATAGAATTATATATTACATTAAAAAGAAATGAATTAATACAAAAGTAAATAATTATTTACTTTTAATCAGGGATTTCCCTAGAATAAGATACGTCTACTGTGTGTGAAACTATGTTTTTGTATATTTTATGTTCTTCCCCCCTTCCCACCACCATCACCACTTCAGTAAACAAGGTTTTTAGGATTTCTTATAATATTGAAAAGGGTGTTTAAAAAGAAAAACTTTTTGCTGAGAAAACTAGTCTTGATTCTTATTGCTAAAATATTAAGGTTTTTTTTTACTTCCGGCTAAAATGGACGCTAGACAGCGGCGCCGTTCGGAACAGAGGCAAATTTTTTGCTTCTGCCGGACGGTGGCCGATGCATTTTTGCTCCATTTGTAGACTGGATATAGTTTCGTCGCCCAACTTCTGAGTTGAATGCATGGCGTGACCCTGTGAGCTGCGGATTGCATTTGGAATGTTTTTTTTCGACTGTGGCCAACGTGGTGGTGTGAATTGTAGATTCAGAAAATGGCGCGATGCCTGTCGTTCAATGCTGGCGGGACCTGTATTAAAATTGATCACGCGGACAACTGCTGATCTGTTGACGACAAGTTCTGCTATCATCAATGATGAACTGCATTTCTAATGTTGGACTGTTTGTGTTAGCACTTCGGATGGCTACCATATGCTTTAATGCGAGTGTATGCTAGATATGCTGAGACAGCAGTCTGTCAATCTTTCCACAAGGGACTGTGATAGACATTCTGGGTGTTTTTCGCTGGCAAAGATGGGGCGACCCGTTTGCTATGAAGCTGAAACTAAGACTACCATACCATACCATTAAGGTTTTTACAGACAAAATTACTGAGTTTAAAAAAGCACTTTGCAAATTGGACCTGAAAGTCTAGAATAGAGAACTGGAGAAGTGAAGTGTTCAGCAGCATAATAGTTAGAACATGTGATGTCAACCAGCGGCGTAGGGCAGGGGTTGTGCTGGCCACCCTGGTGTCACTACTGAAGGGGGTTGACAGAATGGCAGATATGTGTTTTTAGTACACACACATTATATAGTGTGTGTGTGCATGGGGTGTGTGACAGGAAATGTTGCACACTGGGTGCCACTGCTGTCAAAAGAGGGAAGAAACATCACTCTCTCTTTTGGTAACAGATTCTGGAGCAGGCTGACTAGCTGTTACAATACTCTAAGGAGATAGTAAACTGGAGAGGAAGGAAAATGTAAAATGTGTCTCAGAAGTTCAACAAAAGATACATTTTGAGAGGGAAAAAAGTGTGCTTCTGTAGTGTAGTGGTTATCACATCTGCCTAAGATGCAGAGGGCCCTTGTTTGATTCCCCACGGGACACATTTTACAGTGCCACCTGTGACCTAGGCCATGCTGTGAGCATGCTTTATAATTCCAAAATACCTGTTTCAGTTCCATCTGCATGTAGTTTGGCAGCAGACCGCTATGGGTTTGGCAATGGTATGGAGTACTGGCCATTTAAAAGGATTTGCAAACTACTGAACATAAAAGTGTCAAGTAAAAATCAAACCGCCAACAAATGCTGGAGTTGGCTCGGCAGCAGCCTGTAAAGCAGTGGCTCTCAACCTTCCTAATGATGCAACTTTTTAATCCACTTCCACATGTTGTGGCCACCCTTTAATCCCTTTCCTCTTGTTGTTTCCACCCTTTAATCCACTTCCTTATGTTTCCACCCTTTAATCATCTTCCTCATGTTGTGGCCACCCTTTAATTCACTTTCTTTTTGTTTTCCACCAGGTTGATTTGACAGAACCAATTTTGTCCAGATTTGATGTTTTATGCGTTGTACGAGACACAGTAGATTCTGTCCAGGTAAAGTACAAGAATTCTCCACATGTTGAGGGCAGTAAAATAATACATGTACAATAGATACCCGCCAAATGGCAAGAGCACTGACTTGATCAAACACTGTTTCAGTTGCAAACGGTGATCACGTATTAACAGCCAAATCTGTTTTGTGGGAATAATAATAAAAAACACATGTCATAGAATTAAATCTGATATCTCTGCTACAGCTAGTCTCAAGTCTGGATTAGAAATGAGGATGGTTAGGCCAGCTCTCCCTCCCTGTATAAAAACTTGTGACAGAAACTTGCAGGACAGGAGAGATGATGATGCTGTATTGAACAGATTTTCAGCAGAGACAGAGGATCACCAGCCAGGCACTGAAATGGGAAATATAGGACTTAAGGAAGTGGTGACGTCCAAGAGAGATTCTAAAGCGAATATTCCCGCTGAGAGAGGCTAAAGGTGCTAGCCAGGATATTCCAGCTAAGAGAGGCTAAAGGTGCCAGGATATTCCAGCTGAGAGAGGCTAAAAGTGCTAGCCAGGATATTCCAGCTGAGAGAGGCTAAAGGTGCTAGCCATGATATTCCAGCTGAGAGAGGCTAAAGGTGCTAGCCAGGATATTCCTGCTGAGAGAGGCTAAAGGTGCTAGCCATGATATTCCTGCTGAGAGAGGCTAGAGGTGCTAGCCAGGATATTCCAGCTGAGAGAGGCTAGAGGTGCTGGCCAGGATATTCCAGCTGAGAGAGGCTAGAGGTGCTGGCCAGGATATTCCAGCTGAGAGAGGCTAAAGGTGCGAGCCAGGATATTTTAGCTGAGAGAGGCTAGAGGTGCTAGCCAGGATATTTCTGCTGAGAGAGGCTAAAAGTGCTGGCCAGGATGTTTCCGCTGAGAGAGGCTAAAGGTACTGCCCAGAATATTCCTGCTGAGAGAGGCTAAAGGGCGTTACCCATTTTAAGCTGGAACAATCTTGGAGCCAGGTATATTTAAAAAAAAAATTAACTTGATGCGGATTCACATCCGTGACCTTTGGGCAGGTGGTTAGATTAGATCAGTGAGGGTGTAGGAAATGACTTTCTACTTGAGAGATCAGACTTTCTTCATCTTTTTAAATCTTGAGAGCCCATATTTTTGCTTTCTACGTCTGTTTTTAAATCTCTCTCATGTTTCTGTTGAAGTATGTTATGATTGCCCCAGAATATTTGAATTTATTGACAAAATGTTTGCAAAATTGGCTTTTTAATCCTGGCAGGATGAACGTTTGGCTAAGTTTGTCGTTGGCAGCCACATGCGACATCATCCTAATGCAACAGAAGCTGAAGCAGAGCTTCCTCCGGTAACGTGTTTTCATTGACATCTGTTGAAATGTAATACATTTAATTACAATGTACTGTACAAGATAGAAAACCAGATATATGAAGGTTCTGTCAAAATGAAATCCATCAGACTGTAATTGAAGATATATTGCACGCTTCGTTGTGTACATTTCCCTAAGCACTGTTGTCTGAGGTTCAGTCGCCAGAAGAAGAAGAAATTGTGTTCTCTGGTCCCCTCTTTCAAATTCAGCAGACGGCACACTTGATGGTCTTATTAACACCCAGCAATATCTATGACATTGGTAGAGTGCTAGCTTGCCAGTCCGGTACACAAAAATTCTTCGCCTGTTTTACCTTAAAAGGGCAGCAGGCACATTTTGTTGTGGTGTACAGCTTCCCTGTGATGTCTGCACTTTTTGGGCCAATACATTTCATTTGAGCAAATCCTTAATTAGCAGCCTTTTGCAACATGCTTTTTAAGGAGCAATAGATATATGCTCCAGACCTTGAACCCACATTGGGATTTAGCCTCATTTGAGAGGGGATGTATTTTGGCCTAATGCACCCCTGGGGCACATTTAGTCTGTATAGTATGGATGCTATATATTTATCTTGGGAAGGACACGGCAGGCAGAGAGGAAGAGGTGTAATCTTGTAATTCTGTCATGGGACGTGGAGTTCAACCAAAAGTCCTCAGTACGATTGCTGAGCCTGGGGCAGTAGCTGCCACAGTTGGCCAAAAAGTTTATTTTATACATATGAACATGAATAAGGGTGTATATAAATGTACCATAAGAAACTGAAAATTACACTTCACGGTCTAGTACAGAGCATAGGAACTGATGACCTAGACTTCTCAGAAAATAGCTTAAATATGAGTTCTTGTATTAATCATATAAAGATTTCTTGATATTAGAAAATTGCACAGAAATGATCTCAACAGCCTTTCTTCGGAACTCCACACATTCAGCACATAGCCAGTGTGATATAATTCACATATTTAAAACGGGGCCACATTAGCACAGTCGATAAGAGGCTCACTTTCAAATCCAGCTGTCACTTCTGGTTTTACGGAACCTCATGCAAGACTCCTGCTGCACGTCCCCGTCGTGCGCCACGGATAATGTCTCAAATGAGCATTAACAGAGTTGGCAGGGGATCTCGGAGCTGGCGGCCCCTAGAGGTGTAGTGTCCTTTCTGGCTCTCACCAGCCCGCCCCCAAACGCATGGGTGAAAAGTCTAACAAAACTCAAGAATTGCTTGCTAAATGTACCATCAAATAACAACTCGTGGTTAAAATTCGGGAGGGAATTTAAAACTGTGCTGTTGAGACTCAACCCTGACCGAGAGATTTACCCGCAGCCAAGATGAGTAACATCTCTTGTGTGCGACTTCTCGCAGCAAGATCCTACCTACGTACATCCTCAATCCTCAGTGTCGTCGTCACCGCGCTGAGGTACACCACGGCAGCAACTTTTCATATGCTGGCTTGGAAATAATGTCCGACAAAGTTATACCCCACGGCACACATGCAAGCTCAAAGTCCGACGATCATAATTCGTACTGATTAGGAAAAAGTCCGAATGTCCGTATCCACTGGTCCAACTGGCCCGAGTGTTGGGACCAAACAGGTGAAGCCACGCCTGACACATTTTGCTTCCCCATTCTGTCGTGCTAAGGGCACAGCTGAAACAACGTTAAAGGTGTCTAACGTAAGATGAAAAAGAATGTACCTATTTGTGTGGCCACAAACGTCCTAGACCTGCGGGCTGCTCCCCGCTGATCTCCGGAGAGCGCAGCCTTGTAGCGCGGGAAGCTCAATACACGGTTGTGAGGTTAAGCAGTCATGGGCAGGACGTGACGATTCCTTGGGTGAGCCCAGAACCAGAGCATCATGTGTCGGCTCTGCATTTATGGAAGCCTCCTTGGATGGCGGGGAATGCCCATGATCTGCCCCTGCCTTCCCTTGAGGGCTGAAAACTCTACATAGAGCTGCCTTAAGGACGACATGCCGGGTTCCACACCTGTAAAAGTCAAAGAGGACACCACACAAATGAGGCAACATCTCGACCCACACAAAACAATGGCCACAGTCAACCTAGAAATAGGCTTGACGTCTTCCTCCGCAGTCGGAGTACATCTGCCGGAGAGGCGGGGAACGAGAACTGCAAACAAATAAGCCAGTAAAACGGATGTACACGCAAAACTCAGGTCAAGGTAAAAACCAAAAGTCCATTTTGGACGAACAACCGCGACTTACCGCCGGAATTCACAGCCGGTGAACAAGAAGAAGAAGAAGAAATCCATCTGGACTCGCTGTAGCCCACGGTCAGTGTTCGAAACTGGGCGGTTTCCAGGGTTCAACCACCTCTAGGAAATGGGTACCAGTGTTGACACTCTGGGGTAAATGGAGGAACGTCGCTGTAGCCACATAGTTATGTGTGAACGGCGACACATGCGAACAATTCTTATCAGCTGTCCATACCTGTGGCAGAGCACTTATGGTTTATAACCACGTGCAATGACGCTGGTTCACATCTCCCGACTTTACCTTTACCTTTATATTTCAAACAGGATTGCTCAATAACAGCCGTATAATTAGTGAAATGCAAACACCTGTTTATATATATATATATATTTTTTTTTTCCAGAGCCAGTTTGGAGATTCCAAGTTGGAGCCCATTCCACAGGAGCTGCTGAAGAAGTACATTATGTATGCCAAGGAGAAGGTCAGACCCAAACTGCATCAGATGGACCAGGACAAAGTTGCCAGGATGTATTCTGAATTAAGACGAGAATCTATGGTAAATACTCTTCAATGTCTTTTGTTGCATAAAAATGACTAATGTTTAGCGTAACATTTTTTGTATTATGCTTTTATAATTGCCACAAAAAGTGCCCCACAGCATTCGTATGAAAGGTACCATTGTCAAAGGTGCCCATTTGTGCAGGGAATTGGGGTCTTAGGTCTGCAGGCTGCTTTCAGGGGATCCCTACTTGGTCTGATATCCTATTTATTCAGCAGAGAACTAAACTTGTTGAACTGTAGTTGCTTATTGTTTTATATGACTTGCAGTACTGAGTAGATATTTTTCTGTATTGCCACTTCTGACTCAGAGCTGCATACACTGAATAATATGGGTATTGCTTCCGGCCAAAGTGGAGGAAAGGCTTGGCAGAATGTTTAGCTTCAAAGTTATTTTTGCTTCCTACAATGCTTTGCTAAAGCAGTTTTCACATAAGGGCGGTAGTCTAGGGTTTCGCTGCCTGAGCTACTGAGTTTAGAGCTTGGTAGCAGCCCCGTGAGCTGTGTTTTTCCTATGGAATGTCTTTCACTTGTGCATCTGTTGTGTCGTTTTGTTCAGTATGACCGGTTTACGTTTGAGCTGGTGAAATACCATATGTAAAAATTCTGTGTGTGTATAGTCAATAACTTATTGTGCCCGACTACCTACATCAGTGACAAACTGCATTTCTGGTGGCTTTGGTGCCTCGAGCAACTAAAATACTACGTGCTCAAATTTATGGAATGTTCCAGAACTAGTTGTTTTTTCACAGTTTTTCAAATGCGACAGGGAGGGACATTTTATTTGATTCGCACTGGCACAGGAACAGAGCAAGTGTGGGGAAACCCGATTGCGGTGATGTTGAAACCATGACTAACTAACTAATTGCTTCCCCCAGGACCATTGCCTTCACTTTATAATTGGAGAAGTGAATTCCTGAAGGGAGACTACACTCATATGACACCAGATATCCATTCTATATGGATTCCACCTCCCCCATCACTGAAGGTCTTTTACCGAGCCATCCATGAATATCCACATCCATCTGCTTTTATTCTAGTTTTAACGTCCGGTTACGTCTAGGATAAACAATCAGGGTTAGTACAACCATATTCCCTACATAGGTACTAGTGCCCTATTTTGGGGGAAACAAGAATAGACCCACTGCCTCCCCGACAAGCATGTTGTAGGAGTCAACTGCCTCCCCGACAAGCATGTTGTAGGAGTCAACTGCCTCCCCGACAAGCATGTTGTAGGAGTCAACTGCCTCCCCGACAAGCATGTTGTAGGAGTCAACTGCCTCCCCGACAAGCATGTTGTAGGAGTCAACTGCCTCCCCGACAAGCATGTTGTAGGAGTCAACTAATTAGGGGCTTCCTTCGAAGTCAGAGTGCGTCTGCCTAGAAAGCAAGGAATAAAAAAAACTGCATACAAATAAGCCAAATCCGTACTCAGGTTCTGGAACAAGACTAAAGTCCAGAGGTGGATGAACAACCAGAGCTTCCTGCTAGTTTACAGCCTGTGAACAAGAAGAAAGAAAAGTATAGCCATATATTTTCCAGAGGGGGGAAAAATTGAAGTTAAAATATGTTTTTAAACCATTATTAGTTTTCTCTTGCATATTTTTGGATGAGAATGATTTACAATTTAGCATGTGTCTGCAATATGTTGAGCCTGCCGTTCTGCAACATCTAAAATCTCATACTTACAGGCTACTGGCAGCATTCCTATCACAGTTCGTCACATCGAGTCCATGATCAGGATGAGTGAGGCCCATGCCCGAATCCACTTGAGAGATTATGTGAACGAGGATGACGTCAATATGGCCATTCGAATCATGCTGGAAAGCTTCATCAGCACCCAGAAATTCAGTATCATGAGGACAATGCGCAAGGTACAGCTGTATATGTTGTTTTGTTTTTCCCCCCCCCCCCCCCCCCCCCCCTTCATGTTTGTTAAACGACATGTAATTTTTATATTTTGTGAAAAGAATATTTTTTCCCCTGCATTTAATGGGCAGTGACTGAATGACTAAATCAAGATGAATTTATCAAGATGAATGAATGAATAAATCAAGATGAATGAATATATCAAGATGAATGAATGAATATATCAAGATGAATGAATGAATAAATCAAGATAAAAGAATAACTAAATCAAGATGAATAAATGAATAATATATCAAAATGAATGAATGAATATATCAAGATGAATGAATGACTAAATCAAGATGAATGAATGAATATATCAAGATGAATGAATAAATATATCAAGATGAATGAATGAATAAATCAAGATGAAAGAATGACTAAATCAAGATGAAAGAATGACTAAATCAAGATGAATGAAAGAATGACTAAATCAAGATGAATGAATGATTAAGTCAGAAATGGGCATCTCTGCACTCGGAACATTTTCACGCATGCTTCATTCCCTTCTTTTATAGCTAACAAAAAGTCTGCTTGCTGATAGTACCAGTTTTAGCCTCCGTTTTTTTTTTTTAAACAACGGACCAACATCCTGGCACATGGGTAGTAACCCATAAGTGCTCTGTTTTTCTTCTAACTCAAGTCTGAGTCCGAAGAAGCTCAGCACAGTGCACAGGCTCTGTAGCACCATCAAGGATCCTGAGATACTTTGGGTAGATTTTTAACTCAAAAATTCTACTCTTTTCAATTTCTAACCGCCAAGGTATTTTTTTTACGTGCACAACAATACACACAGGCGTCTGATTTCACTACCCAGAGACCAGGGGGAATTACTAGAAGTTCAAGTTCACTTGGAAAAAGTCCCAGCCCTTACCGGGGATTGAACCCGAAACCTCTAGCACCCGGGGTGGACACCATGCTTCAAGACCACGCTGCCCCCCTCCATCCTTTTTAACCTCATTGAAAGTCAAATTTAACCTGAGCTCCTGGGCATTAACACACACAAAAAAAAAATATTAGTTACATGCAAACAAGTTGCTAGAATATGATGCAACTTGGAGACATTGTAGAAAAAAGGTTTACTTTTATCTAGCACCAATATTCAATGTTTGTGTGCTAATCCACCCAGCAGGATCAGCCTCGTTTCACAAAGTGAACACCAGATGTTGCTGTTTGAGGGACATGCCCCCTCCTCCTCCTGCTATCGATCTATTTATAGATTTATAATTTTCCTTATTATTCGAGCTCTTACTGACTGTCACTTCAACTGGGAACGTATTCTTCATGAAATTACGACTCTGCAGAGTCTGAATCAACCAAAGTATTGATCACCTGTTGGGCTGTGAAAAGCCTAGATCTACTTCACTTTCCTGTCAAAGTGCTTGGTTCATCAAGACAAAAGAATGTAATTGATTGTAATGATGGCTGTTATTAGTTTATGTCAGTTTATGATTTTAAAAGAGTTATATAAATGTCCCACAGACTTTTGGCCGATATTTGTCATTCCGGAAAGACAACAACGAGTTGCTACTTTTCATCCTTAAACAACTGGTTCAGGACCAAATGGCCTTCCACAGAAACCGATACGGAACTGATTCAGAACAAATAGAAATCTCAGAGAAGGATCTTGCAGATAAAGTAAGTCTGAAAATGAATGATATGATTTTCTGTAAGTTTGTTTCACAATCTTTCTTCCTGGTATGGGTTCCGGGGCCCTATTAGAGGAAAAACAAGAACAGACCCACTGCCTACCCAAAAGCATGTCGTAAGAGTCGACTAATTGGAAGCTTCCTTCGAAGTCAGAGTGTATCTGGCTGAGGAGCAAGGAACCAGCAGTCTGCATACAAGTGAGTCAGATTTGTAAAACGGATGCACATGCAACACTTAGGTTCTGGAACAGGACTGCAGTCTGAAAGTGGATAAACAACCAGAACTTTCCACCATATTTTACCGCTGGTAATCAAACAAAAATCTTTCTGTTCTAGTTTGTCAAGAAATATCCAGGCAGTATCCTGAGTACATTTCATCATATCGAGCCCGTAATCATAGGAGAGCGAGACCTATGCTTGCATCCACATAGGGAATTATGTAAACGACGATGACGTCATTTACACTCTTCAAATCATGCTGGAAAGTTTCATCATTACACAATAAGTTCATTATCATGAAGATGAAGCACATGTACTTTTCCTGCTGAAATTGAACTTGTATGTGTGTTCAGCCGTTCAGTGATATGTCAACATTTCTGCTGTTTGCTGTCCCTCGTACTTTCCCCATATTACCCCGATTCTTCCTGATGGATCCCTGACTTTTTTTGTCCTGTTGCTTTAGTAGGGAATTTGTGGTTCACTGATTTCCTTATTGTGTTGATGATTATTTATTCGACTGTCTTACATGACAGTATCGTTATGTATCACACTGAAAGACCCAGAAGTGTCATTTATCATTCATTGAAGCCTGTCATTTACCATATGGAAACACCCAGAAGTGTCATTTATCATTCATTGAAGCCTGTCATTTACCATATGGAAACACCCAGAAGTGTAATTTATCATTCATTGAAGCCTGTCATTTACCATATGGAAACACCCAGAAGTGTCATTTATCATTCATTGAAGCCTGTCATTTACCATATGGAAACACCCAGAAGTGTCATTTATCATTCATTGAAGCATGTCATTTACCATATGGAAACACCCAGAAGTGTCATTTATCATTCATTGAAGCCTGTCATTTACCATATGGAAACACCCAGAAGTGTCATTTATCATTCATTGAAGCCTGTCATTTACCATATGGAAACGCTCAGAAGTGTCATTTATCATTCATTGAAGCCTGTCATTTACCATATGGAAACGCTCAGAAGTGTCATTTATCATTCATTGAAGCCTGTCTTTTACCATATGGAAACACCCAGAAGTGTCATTTATCATTCATTGAAGCCTGTCATTTACCATATGGAAACGCTCAGAAGTGTCATTTATCATTCATTGAAGCCTGTCATTTACCATATGGAAACACCCAGAAGTGTCATTTATCATTCATTGAAGCCTGTCATTTACCATATGGAAACGCTCAGAAGTGTCATTTATCATTCATTGAAGCCTGTCATTTACCATATGGAAACGCTCAGAAGTGTCATTTATCATTCATTGAAGCCTGTCATTTACCATATGGAAACGCCCAGAAGTGTCATTTATCATTCATTGAAGCGTGTCATTTACCATATGGAAACACCCAGAAGTGTCATTTATCATTCATTGAAGCCTGTCATTTACCATATGGAAACACCCAGAAGTGTCATTTATCATTCATTGAAGCCTGTCATTTACCATATGGAAACACCCAGAAGTGTCATTTATCATTCATTGAAGCCTGTCATTTACCATATGGAAACGCTCAGAAGTGTCATTTATCATTCATTGAAGCCTGTCATTTACCATATGGAAACACCCAGAAGTGTCATTTATCATTCATTGAAGCCTGTCATTTACCATATGGAAACACCCAGAAGTGTCATTTATCATTCATTGAAGCCTGTCATTTACCATATGGAAACACCCAGAAGTGTCATTTATCATTCATTGAAGCCTGTCATTTACCATATGGAAACACCCAGAAGTGTCATTTACCATTCATTGAAGCCTGTCATTTACCATATGGAAACGCTCAGAAGTGTCATTTATCATTCATTGAAGCCTGTCATTTACCATATGGAAACGCTCAGAAGTGTCATTTATCATTCATTGAAGCCTGTCATTCACCATATGGAAACGCTCAAAAGTGTCATTTATCATTCATTGAAGCCTGTCATTTACCATATGGAAACGCTCAGAAGTGTCATTTATCATTCATTGAAGCCTGTCATTTACCATATGGAAACGCTCAGAAGTGTCATTTATCATTCATTGAAGCCTGTCATTTACCATATGGAAACGCTCAGAAGTGTCATTTATCATTCATTGAAGCCTGTCATTTACCATATGGAAACGCTCAGAAGTGTCATTTATCATTCATTGAAGCGTGTCATTTACCATATGGAAACGCTCAGAAGTGTCATTTATCATTCATTGAAGCCTGTCATTTACCATATGGAAACGCTCAGAAGTGTCATTTATCATTCATTGAAGCCTGTCATTTACCATATGGAAACGCTCAGAAGTGTCATTTATCATTCATTGAAGCCTGTCATTTACCATATGGAAACACCCAGAAGTGTCATTTATCATTCATTGAAGCCTGTCATTTACCATATGGGAACGCTCAGAAGTGTCATTTATCATTCATTGAAGCGTGTCATTTACCATATGGAAACGCTCAGAAGTGTCATTTATCATTCATTGAAGCCTGTCATTTACCATATGGAAACGCCCAGAAGTGTCATTTATCATTCATTGAAGCCTGTCATTTACCATATGGAAACGCTCAGAAGTGTAATTTATCATTCATTGAAGCGTGTCATTTACCATATGGAAACACCCAGAAGTGTCATTTATCATTCATTGAAGCCTGTCATTTACCATATGGAAACACCCAGAAGTGTCATTTATCATTCATTGAAGCCTGTCATTTACCATATGGAAACGCCCAGAAGTGTCATTTATCATTCATTGAAGCCTGTCATTTACCATATGGAAACACCCAGAAGTGTCATTTATCATTCATTGAAGCGTGTCATTTACCATATGGAAACACCCAGAAGTGTCATTTATCATTCATTGAAGCGTGTCATTTACCATATGGAAACACCCAGAAGTGTCATTTATCATTCATTGAAGCCTGTCATTTACCATATGGAAACACCCAGAAGTGTCATTTATCATTCATTGAAGCCTGTCATTTACCATATGGAAACACCCAGAAGTGTCATTTATCATTCATTGAAGCGTGTCATTTACCATATGGAAAAACACCCAGAAGTGTCATTTATCATTCATTGAAGCGTGTCATTTACCATATGGAAACACCCAGAAGTGTCATTTATCATTCATTAAAGCCTGTCATTTACCATATGGAAACACCCAGAAGTGTCATTTATCATTCATTGAAGCCTGTCATTTACCATATGGAAACGCCCAGAAGTGTCATTTATCATTCATTGAAGCCTGTCATTTACCATATGGAAACGCTCAGAAGTGTCATTTATCATTCATTGAAGCCTGTCATTTACCATATGGAAACGCTCAGAAGTGTCATTTATCATTCATTGAAGCCTGTCATTTACCATATGGAAACGCTCAGAAGTGTCATTTATCATTCATTGAAGCCTGTCATTTACCATATAGAAACACCCAGAAGTGTCATTTATCATTCATTGAAGCGTGTCATTTACCATATGGAAACACCCAGAAGTGTCATTTATCATTCATTGAAGCCTGTCATTTACCATATGGAAACACCCAGAAGTGTCATTTATCATTCATTGAAGCCTGTCATTTACCATATGGAAACGCTCAGAAGTGTCATTTATCATTCATTGAAGCCTGTCATTTACCATATGGAAACGCTCAGAAGTGTCATTTATCATTCATTGAAGCCTGTCATTTACCATATGGAAACGCTCAGAAGTGTCATTTATCATTCATTGAAGCCTGTCATTTGCCATATGGAAACGCTCAGAAGTGTCATTTATCATTCATTGAAGCCTGTCATTTACCATATGGAAACACCCAGAAGTGTCATTTATCATTCATTGAAGCCTGTCATTTACCATATAGAAACACCCAGAAGTGTCATTTATCATTCATTGAAGCCTGTCATTTACCATATGGAAACGCCCAGAAGTGTCATTTATCATTCATTGAAGCCTGTCATTTACCATATGGAAACGCCCAGAAGTGTCATTTATCATTCATTGAAGCCTGTCATTTACCATATGGAAACGCTCAGAAGTGTCATTTATCATTCATTGAAGCCTGTCATTTACCATATGGAAACGCTCAGAAGTGTCATTTATCATTCATTGAAGCCTGTCATTTACCATATGGAAACGCTCAGAAGTGTCATTTATCATTCATTGAAGCCTGTCATTTACCATATGGAAACGCTCAGAAGTGTCATTTATCATTCATTGAAGCCTGTCATTTACCATATGGAAACGCTCAGAAGTGTCATTTATCATTCATTGAAGCCTGTCATTTACCATATGGAAACGCTCAGAAGTGTCATTTATCATTCATTGAAGCCTGTCATTTACCATATGGAAACGCTCAGAAGTGTCATTTATCATTCATTGAAGCCTGTCATTTACCATATGGAAACGCTCAGAAGTGTCATTTATCATTCATTGAAGCCTGTCATTTACCATATGGAAACGCTCAGAAGTGTCATTTATCATTCATTGAAGCCTGTCATTTACCATATGAAAACGCTCAGAAGTGTCATTTATCATTCATTGAAGCCTGTCATTTACCATATGGAAACGCTCAGAAGTGTCATTTATCATTCATTGAAGCGTGTCATTTACCATATGGAAACACCCAGAAGTGTCATTTATCATTCATTGAAGCGTGTCGTTTACCATATGGAAACGCCCAGAAGTGTCATTTATCATTCATTGAAGCCTGTCATTTACCATATGGAAACGCTCAGAAGTGTCATTTATCATTCATTGAAGCCTGTCATTTACCATATGGAAACGCTCAGAAGTGTCATTTATCATTCATTGAAGCCTGTCATTTACCATATGGAAACACCCAGAAGTGTCATTTATCATTCATTGAAGCCTGTCATTTACCATATGGAAACGCCCAGAAGTGTCATTTATCATTCATTGAAGCGTGTCATTTACCATATGGAAACACCCAGAAGTGTCATTTATCATTCATTAAAGCGTGTCATTTACCATATGGAAACACCCAGAAGTGTCATTTATCATTCATTGAAGCGTGTCATTTACCATATGGAAACACCCAGAAGTGTCATTTATCATTCATTGAAGCCTGTCATTTACCATATGGAAACACCCAGAAGTGTCATTTATCATTCATTGAAGCCTGTCATTTACCATATGGAAACACCCAGAAGTGTCATTTATCATTCATTGAAGCGTGTCATTTACCATATGGAAACACCCAGAAGTGTCATTTATCATTCATTGAAGCGTGTTATTTACCATATGGAAACGCTCAGAAGTGTCATTTATCATTCATTGAAGCGTGTCATTTACCATATGGAAACACCCAGAAGTGTCATTTATCATTCATTGAAGCCTGTCATTTACCATATGGAAACACCCAGAAGTGTCATTTATCATTCATTGAAGCCTGTCATTTACCATATGGAAACACCCAGAAGTGTCATTTATCATTCATTGAAGCCTGTCATTTACCATATGGAAACGCTCAGAAGTGTCATTTATCACATTGAGGTGCTCAAAAGTGTCATACTGAAACACAGTCATAAATCTTCTAAAACTAAAAATTTCATTTATTACATTATGGTGCCCAAAAGTGTCATTTATCTTGCTGAAGCACCCTAAATTATCATTTATCATACACTGAAACGCCCCAAAGTGGCATTCATCGCATTGAAGTGCCCAAAAGTGTTTAATTTTTAATTTTAGAATCAACATCACAGCTCTCAGGACATTCCCATTAGTGCTCCGTCTTCAGCAGCCAGCACAGAGTTCCAGTTCCAATAGCAGTCTGATTGTATATTGGCCTCACCTTTCCCTTGGGTGCTGATGGGCTACCAGATGCCCTGGTCACTCCTGGCAGGGCCATGATGATCCATCTGTGTCCGCACTGTTGACCCCCCCCCCCCCCCCCCCCCCCCCCCCCCCCCCCCCCCCCCCAGTGGGCCCATATATCTTGCTTGTCATGCATCAGTTCACCACCACATTGTGCGGAACCAGACAGTCTATACCTTGTTATGTACCCTGGCATCTCCTAGAGGACACCGGCATCTCCTGGAGGACACTGGCGTCTCCTGAAGGACATTGGCGTCTCCTGGAGGACACTGGCATCTCCTGGAGGACACTGGCATGTCCTAGAGGACACTGGCATCTCCTGGAGAACACTGGCATGGATTAGGGGACACTGACATCTCCTGGAGAACACTGGCATGTCCTAGAGGACACTGGCATCTCCTGGAGAACACTGGCATGTCCTAGAGGACACTGGCATGTCCTAGAGGACACTGGCATGTCCTAGAGGACACTGGCATCTCCTGGAGAACACTGGCATGTCCTAGAGGACACTGGCATGTCCTAGAGAACACTGGCATGTCCTGGAGAACACTGGCATGTCCTAGAGGACACTGGCATGTCCTGGAGAACACTGGCATGTCCTAGAGAACACTGGCATGTCCTAGAGAACACTGGCATGTCCTAGAGAACACTGGCATGTCCTAGAGGACACTGGCATGTCCTAGAGGACACTGGCATGTCCTGGAGAACACTGGCATGTCCTAGAGAACACTGGCATGTCCTAGAGAACACTGGCATGTCCTAGAGAACACTGGCATGTCCTAGAGAACACTGGCATGTCCTAGAGAACACTGGCATGTCCTAGAGAACACTGACATCTCCTGGAGGACACTGGCATCTCCTGGAGGACACTGACATCTCCTGGAGGACACTGGCATCTCCTGGAGGACACTGGCATCTCCTGGAGGACACTGGCATCTCCTGGAGGACACTGACATCTCCTGGAGGACACTGGCATCTCCTGGAGGACACTGGCATCTCCTGGAGGACACTGGCATCTCCTGGAGGACACTGACATCTCCTGGAGGACACTGACATCTCCTGGAGGACACTGACATCTCCTGGAGGACACTGACATCTCCTGGAGGACACTGACATCTCCTGGAGGACACTGACATCTCCTGGAGGACACTGACATCTCCTGGAGGACACTGACATCTCCTGGAGGACACTGACATCTCCTGGAGGACACTGGCATCTCCTGGAGGACACTGGCATCTCCTGGAGGACACTGGCATCTCCTGGAGGACACTGGCATCTCCTGGAGGACACTGGCATCTCCTGGAGGACACTGGCATCTCCTGGAGGACACTGGCATCTCCTGGAGGACACTGGCATCTCCTGGAGGACACTGGCATCTCCTGGAGAACACTGGCATCTCCTGGAGAACACTGGCATGTCCTAGAGAACACTGGCATGTCCTAGAGAACACTGGCATGTCCTAGAGAACACTGGCATGTCCTAGAGAACACTGGCATGTCCTAGAGAACACTGGCATGTCCTGGAGGACACTGGCATGTCCTGAAGGACACTGGCATGTCCTGAAGGACACTGGCATCTCCTGGAGGACACTGGCATCTCCTGGAGGACACTGGCATGTCCTGGAGGACACTGGCATCTCCTGGAAGAGACTTCTACCCAGGACCTCTGAATGGATGCTTGTGAGTCGGCTTTAATTATGACATGATGCGTGTACAGCTGATTCACAAGCCAGCGAAAGGCTGCACTGAGAACCTCTATCTCCATTCTCAAACTAGATGTGGTATCATATGTCAGGGTTTGTTGCACTAGATGACGTCCATTCCCTTTTGCTAAGAACAGGGTTTGTAGTGGACCTGGAGAAAGTCGGGAACTGCAAGATCTCCCTCATGGTCCTGGAACTTTACCCACCAACCCTTGAACTGTGCACACCTTAACCTCCACACTGATAACAAAAGGAGAATTTTGTATGATTTTTAGCAATTGGGCTTTTTGCAGGTTCAGTTTTTGTTATTTAAACTGATCATCAGCAAACTAGGTGGGCAAGAGTGTAAGCTACCATTATTTAAAATGTGTGGAGGCAATCTGTGAGCTTGCAAGCAATAGGCAGTTCAGGGTCTTATTGTTTGCTTTGCGGGGTGGTGTATGGATGATGCAGAGGGAGCTGTCTTCATTCATGTCGTTTCTAGTCCCCTTTCTCTACCTTCACTTGGTGTAGCAAGATTAGCTGGTATCCAATGCAGAACATACCCCCTGCCCCATTCATACACATTAAATATATGTATAATTTAAAGACAATTTGCTGCGCTCTCTCTCTCTCTCTCTCTCTCTCTCTCTCTCTCTCTCTCTCTCTCTCTCTCTCTCTCTCTCTCTCTCTCTCTCTCTCTCTCTCTCTCACGCACGCACACACACACACTGAGCAGAGAGAGAGAGAGAGAGAGAGAGTGTGTCCTCTACTCTCCTTTAAGAACCCCATGCGCTTCATCTGCCTCTGAACCTAGAGCCATCTGTATAGAAAATCACATCACCTGGACGAGAAAAGTTATGAATTATTTGAAGGACTTCTCATTCTGCAGTGCCCGCTGGCCAGTACCTGCACTCACGGTTCAGTGTGATCAGTGTTTTTGGTTCTTGATTCCACTATGTTCTAGTTGTAGTTATTTTTTAGAGCTAATAAAATAATTGTGTGTTTTGGTCTCTCTTCCCCTAAATCTCTATCTCAGGCTCGCCAGATAAACATCCACAGTTTGACTGCTTTCTACGACAGTGAGCTCTTCCAAGCCAACCACTTCAGACATGATGTCAAACGAAAGGTCATAGTTCACACCTTGTGATGAGGGGATATATGCAAGATGAGACTTGGTTCACACCGTGTGATGAGAGGACAAACATCATAGTTCACACCGTATGATGAAGGTATAAGAGCAAGATTATGGTTCCCAACTCATGATGAGGGGACTATGTAATGGCAGACCTATGAGAGACTGCTGAGATCTATTAAGATTTTTATGTTCAGTAAATAATAGGTGTTGGTTAGCCTTGTGATAATGGTAAAGAAAAATGGCACCGCAGAAATGATGAGCAAGTTAACCATTAAATAAAATAATAAAAACACCCATATCAACCCGTTTCCCAAAAACATGGAAAACAGATGGTTCTGCCTGGAGCCTGTGTTACTGGGTATGGTACAACATCTGTAGCAATGAGCAGAAAGTGTGTGCTCAGGCACTGTTAGATCTGTAGCTAGTTTTCACCTGTTGTTTTGTGTAATGAATCATAGACTGTTATTATATAGTTGTGGTAGTTTGTCCATGTTTCACAGCTATATTGTATGTACATACTTGAATGTTATTGCATTTTTATGTGCATTTTTGCATTATTAAAATACATTACATTTTCAGTATAGATTTGTAAACAAATATATGCCTTGCCTTTCTCCATGAGGTGAACTAAATACAATTATTGATAGTTAATAAATATAAAGAAGACCAATTGTAGATGTTCATATTTGCAAAATAGATCCAGTCTAGCAGGTATAGTAAGTCATCATCCCTGTGGATGTTGCTTGCTAGGATAGAGCGGCTCTTTGTGCTGCATCCTTATACTTTGTGCTTGGCTGGTCGGCCATCAATGGGTGGGGGAATACTTTTTATTGGTAATACTGTCTAGAACTTGCTTAAATTCATAAATATCAGAAACGCACACACACTCACAAAAGGATTTAATTGTAAAGCAGAGAAATTTAAAAATAAGTAAATAAACTACAATGGGTATCACACACTCAGGGGATCCATGAATCATCAAACGGCAAAGATTGATCTATGGGGGTGACATTTACAGAGTTTTGCTTTGTTAATTAATCCCAAGTCATAGCTGATGCCCTGAAGAGGCAGCCATGACAACAAACACACATGTGTACGACTTCATTGATGGCACCTTTTCTGTCTTTCCAGTCATTATGTTAAAGGGAAAACATGGCAATCACAGTTCATGCTGATGATAAGTGTGAGCAGCAAAACTTCTTAAGGAAATGAACATAACGTGTAGTAGCTGCCTTTTGATTTGTATCTAAGACCAGTTTTGATCTCACATGTTTACATAATTAGTCCCATTGCATAATATTCATGACACCTGTTTATGATACCTTTCTGTTGCTCCTAAATTGAATCTCTAGAAAATTGTACTGTTATGTGTTAATTCTACACAACATTAATAGCTTCTATAGATAGTAGTAGCAGCTACACAACATTAATAGCTTCTATAGATAGTAGTAGCAGCTACCCAACATTAATAGCTTCTATAGATAGTAGTAGCAGCTACCCAACATTAATAGCTTCTATAGATAGTAGTAGCAGCTACCCATTAAACAACATTAATAGCTTCTATAGATAGTAGTAGCAGCTACCCATTAAACAACATTAATAGCTTCTATAGATAGTAGTAGCAGCTACCCATTAAACAACATTAATAGCTTCTATAGATAGTAGTAGCAGCTACCCAACATTAATAGCTTCTATAGATAGTAGTAGCAGCTACCCATTAAACAACATTAATAGCTTCTATAGATAGTAGTAGCAGCTACCCATTAAACAACATTAATAGCTTCTATAGATAGTAGTAGCAGCTACCCATTAAACAACATTAATAGCTTCTATAGATAGTAGTAGCAGCTACCCAACATTAATAGCTTCTATAGATAGTAGTAGCAGCTACACAACATTAATAGCTTCTATAGATAGTAGTAGCAGCTACCCATTAAACAACATTAATAGCTTCTATAGATAGTAGTAGCAGCTACCCAACATTAATAGCTTCTATAGATAGTAGTAGCAGCTACCCATTAAACAACATTAATAGCTTCTATAGATAGTAGTAGCAGCTACCCAACATTAATAGCTTCTATAGATAGTAGTAGCAGCTACCCATTAAACAACATTAATAGCTTCTATAGATAGTAGTAGCAGCTACCCATTAAACAACATTAATAGCTTCTATAGATAGTAGTAGCAGCTACCCATTAAACAACATTAATAGCTTCTATAGATAGTAGTAGCAGCTACCCAACATTAATAGCTTCTATAGATAGTAGTAGCAGCTACCCATTAAACAACATTAATAGCTTCTATAGATAGTAGTAGCAGCTACACAACATTAATAGCTTCTATAGATAGTAGTAGCAGCTACCCATTAAACAACATTAATAGCTTCTATAGATAGTAGTAGCAGCTACCCAAACATTAATAGCTTCTATAGATAGTAGTAGCAGCTACCATTAAACAACATTAATAGCTTCTATAGATAGTAGTAGCAGCTACCCAACATTAATAGCTTCTATAGATAGTAGTAGCAGCTACCCATTAAACAACATTAATAGCTTCTATAGATAGTAGTAGCAGCTACACAACATTAATAGCTTCTATAGATAGTAGTAGCAGCTACCCATTACAGACACAAGGCAGAATGTAAATAAAACAATTGTTACCGTAAAAAGTTTGCGTTTGGTTTTTTTGAATTTTCAGTCACAGGGTATTGCATAATTATTGAAAACGTGAATTATGAAATTTTTCAGATTCATTACTAAATGATTTAATTCAAGAACCGACATCACAGCACTTAGGGCATCACCATAAGCGCTCCGCCCCCATCTTCAGCAGCCAGCGAAGAGTTCCAATACTAATGGTGCCAGTAGCATTCTGATTAAACGTCCGTCTTGCCTTTCCTCTGAGCTTCGAGCATCTGCCAGAACCTCTCGTCACACCCCCCCCCCCCCCCCCTGCATCAATCTCACCAGATTGTGGTGATCAATCTGCTCCTCCGAACTGTACGCGCTCTCCCGTAAGGCACTAATCACGTCTGCCTTATCATGTATCAGTATTCCACCAAGCTGTGCAGAGCCAGCAAGTCTATCCACCTGTTCATTTCCCAACTCACCGGCGTTCCCTGGTGAAAAAAATCCAGACAATACTCCTCACCCGAGGCATGCCACTCTATTTTTAATTACTAAATAAATCACCTACTGCTTCTGATTACTGAATAAATCACATACTACTTCTTATAGATTACTGAATAAATCACCTACTGCTTCTGATTACTGAATAAATCACATACTACTTCTTATAGATTACTGAATAAAAAACCTACTACTTTTGATAGATTACTGAATAAATCACCTACTACTTTTGATAAATTACTGAATAAATCACCTACTACTTCTGATAGATTACTGAATAAATCACCTACTACTTCTGATAGATTACTGAATAAATCACCTACTACTTTTGATAGATTACTGAATAAATCACCTACTACTTCTGATAGATTACTGAATAAATCACCTACTACTTCTGATAGATTACTGAATAAATCACCTACTACTTTTGATAGATTACTGAATAAATCACCTACTACTTCTGATAGATTACTGAATAAATCACCTACTACTTCTGATAGATTACTGAATAAATCACCTACTACTTTTGATAGATTACTGAATAAATCACCTACTACTTTTGATAGATTACTGAATAAATCACCTACTACTTCTGATAGATTACTGAATAAATCACCTACTACTTCTGATAGATTACTGAATAAATCACCTACTACTTCAAATAGAATTTAATATTGTCTGTCCAAAAGCACAGTGAAGATCAAAATCTGTTCTTGAATTTAAAGGAAACAAAAATAATGTCCACAGAATAAACTGGCTGCCACCCAAAAACAACAATAAATGATGAAGAAATTGAAAATGTCACAAACTTTAAATATCTAGGATGGAGACTGACAGAAATTAAAAGGAGGATGGTCATAGCAATGCAAAGATTAAACAGCCTTAAAAGTCTATGGTTAAGCACCAGCAAGGAGATCAAAATAAGAATTTTGAAAGCATGCATCTTCCCTGTAGCAACATACGGATATGTCGTGGACTATCTCTCAGTCCTTTAGAAAGAGCTTTTGAGCTTAAATGCTAAAGAAAGATTCTCAGAATATCTTGGACAAAGAACAGGAGAAAAACTGACATCTTGAAAGATCTGAACATCAAGGAAGATTGGCTAATAAACAGCATCCTGTCTCAGAAGCTGAAATATTTTGGTCATATCAAGCGCTACGTTGAATTGGAAAAAAAAATAGCAGAAGGCATGGTACCAGGAAGGAGGGGCAAGGGCTGACCGACACGAAGATGGACACAGGAAATAAGTGACTCCTTGAGTATGAAAGTACATGAGGCGGGAGAGCTGGCGAGAGACCAAGTTTCTTTCAGGCAGACTGGGATGAGAGCGACGTTCTGCAAAGGACCTGCTACATGATGATGATGACTTACTAAATAAAACACTTGCTTCTAACAGATTACTGAATAACAATTTCTGATAAATTACTGAATAAATCACCTACTACCTTTGAAAGATTACTTAATAAACACATATTACTGAAAAAAAAAACACTTACTACTTTTAATAGATTACTGAATAAATCGCCCACATATTCTGATAGATTACTGAATAAACACATACTTGTGATTGATTACTGACAAAATGTCTACTATTCTGATTTATTACTGAATAAAGCACATAATTCTGCCTCATTGATTACTGAATAAATTTTCTACTTCTGATAGACAATTCCCGTCCAGGTGATGTGATTGTCCACACAGATGGCTCTGTGTTGACAGGCAGATGAAGTGCACATGGAAAAGGGGAATGGGGGGAGGTATCATAGCAAAAGCGAATGGTTGTTGCTTAGTGCAACAAAGTCTGACATATATCACAACGTATAGTTTGTGAATGGAGGTGGAGGCAGTCACTGTAACCTTCTGCTGGTTTGAAAATCAGCTGTA